GTAAAGTATGAAAGAATAATACTTATCGTCTGCAATCTTAAGTTTTGAAGTTACCCAACTTTGCCTGAAGTTTCGAAAAATGCCTTTCTAGCACAGTTTTAGAAACTCTATAGCACCATGTTTTTATTGCTTTCATTCAAATATCGGTCTTGTCTGCACAGAGACCAATAGCTTCTTGGAATTTGTTTTTGTTAAATTAGATAGATAAGACTATTGATCCCAAAGGGAAATTGATGAATTGATAAATTTCAATTATAGGACTTATAGCAATGAATGTGCTTCACCCCTCTTGACTGTCCCCCCACACCTTTACTGCTCCTGAAGCATTTTCATGGTGCTACACGTGAAAATAAGAGCAGCACAAACAAAGAGAGCCAAGATCTTGACACAACTTCCAATCTTTATACATTCTGTCATTACACCAAGCCATATACTATATAGGGCTCTCAAGTTCATTTTGTAATAAAAGTAAACTGAAGGGATCCCTGAAGAAGAGTTACTAACATGAGATTGAAGCTAACAAGCATGTACTTGACATATGTACATTACCCTGCACATGTGATCCATGCAGCAGACCAGGACACGAGTCTCAGCCCTGCCCTGATTCTGTGCCTGTCAGCAGAGGTGCGGGAGGCCAGGATGACCTCAGCAGGTTGGTGGGTCACAGGCACTTTGTGTTTGAATAGCCCTATAGAAAACTCCAGTGCCACTCACTTGCTGACACAGGGGCTTTGCATGGCCTGAGAGTTCAGCGTCACGCTTCATGTTTTATACGGTACTGTGGAGCATGGTGGGCTCCTAGCACAGCGACAGGGACTTCTTTAACAAACTGGGGGAAAAGCTTTTCAGATGCAGAGTGGTGTACCAGTGAATGAGGAACCAAGGTAAGCTTTCCAGCTTTCCTTGCGTCTTTGAAAATATTTTTCTGTATCCAAAGGTCATTTAATATTGGGTGCCAGAGTTGTGGATTTGCAGGGAATCTGGAAAACAGCCAAATTGGAGCAATCGGTCTCACGTGACCTCTCTCGTGTTGTACTTCCTCAGGTTGCACTGTGTATGATTGCGGCACTCTGGTGATGTAGAACCTGCCGCACTTGCTGCAGTGTTCTAGACAGCTGCTGATATGGATCTGCACAGGTCTGGTTAGAAATGGACTAAAAACAAAAAAAATGCTCAACCACCAAATCAAATCATTGTTGATATGCTTACTAAAAAGGGATATGGCACAACCATCTACAAAACAATCTACTTGGCAATCCGTTGATAATACTGTTTGGCCAAATTTTTCCAAATGTATTTACAGTATATGTACATATAGGTTAAGCAGGTTTCAGACTTATTAAAATGTTTTTTTTTCTCAGTCTTGTTTATGTGCAGGGTCAATGTACTAAATTGTTTTTGAATTGTTTTTCTGTACCCATTTTGTAATCAAGGCCAATATGCAGTTATTTGCATTTGGTGATTATTTTTGTTTGCTTTTGTGGAAGCTTACTTAATGAATACAGAATTTCTTTTAAATGGTAGAATTGCCAAGTATTACAAAATACTATTGTTTAAAAAAAGTAATTTCAAAGTTTTTTTTCCAGTTGTATTCTTGATATCTGACTAACACGTTTTTAGCTCTGGGCTCCACATTGACAGTAATTTGCCATATAGAAGTGTATCGGTCTTAAAATATAATTGTAATAAATTAATTTCTGTTCATTTTCACATAAGGCAATTCATACATTCTATTTGATGTATGTCCTTTTTGCTGGCAAGTCATAAAATATAAGGTATAGCCATATATTTTATTTATACTGTATAATTGTATCTGAAAGTGCTGCCTGAATTTAAATCTTGTAAAAGTGCAATTTCATTTAAATAGAGAATTAAGGCAACTGAGAATTAAAGGACTGAAAGAAAGAGTGTGGTCACTTTCTCAATTACTGCACAATCGTTCATGTTATCAGAGCTACTGTATGAGAAAAAGATTACATTTGTGTTAATGTCCAGTCAAATCGAAATATATAATCAAAGCTTATGAAGTTCAGTATTCCAGCACTAGGCTAAGAAGATTTTTTAATTCGTAACAAATCCAAGTGATGTGTACTGTAGCATAGTTCCCATAAGTTTACAGGGGGCACAGTGATGCAGTGTTGAGCATTGCTGTCTTGCAGAACTGGGGCCCTGGGTTCAATTTTTGGGGAGTTTGTATGTTCTCCCTGTGTTTGCATGAGTTTCCTCTAGGTGCTCCAGTGTCCACCCACAGTCGAAAGATGTGCTAGTAGGTTAATTGGCCCTGGTGTGAGTGTGTGTCTCTGTTTCTACTCTGCAATGGACTGAGAGCTTACCCAGGTGTATCCTGCCCTGCGCACAGTTCTTCCAGATAGGCTCCAGCATCCTGGCAACACTGTTTTGGATAAAGCGTTTAGAAATCGATGGGTGGATGTTGTAGTGCAGATTAAATCAGATTGAGTTTTGGTAATTAACAAAATCTATTATTTAATAGCTTGTGTTTGGGTACAGTTTTACATTGCTGCATAAGATTCCAATAAAGATTTAGACTTATCTGTATCCAATCAGAAATAAGATCATCTGCAAGCAGTGTGAATGAAGAAGATGTGAAAATCATTTAAAATGTCAGATAGTCAGAGCTGCAAAAGGTTCAGATCTTTTGTGTGTTTCAGCCTGGTGCATTTGAACTTTGAATTGGATTTTTTAAAACTTTTTGTATAAATAAACCATCCCCAACTTTAGCTGCTTTACAAAAGGCAGTTAGATCATGGTGTTGGAATTTACAGCTTCTTCTATGAATCTGATCAGGCTGCATTCTTAACCTTTGTGGTGCGAGGGAACACGTCAGTATACAGTAAATTGGCTGGGCACTTCCTTTATCAGAATAAGTTGCAACTCTATCTTTTTTTTCAAATTACTTCTAAAGATCTGATACAGCAGTGCACCCAGTTATCTGCAGTTTTGAGTACATGACATCCTCTACAGTTTGTGGTGCAATATTGATTGATTATATTGATAATATGTACAATTTATTTTACGTTTTTCAAAACAGTTGTAAAATACTCATATTTTTTATATACCCCTTAGTTCTTCATGTAATGCCTTCACAGAGAAGGGCAATTAAATGAGAGAAAATGATAACTTCTAGCACATTCCCATTAAAGTTTGAACTGTTTTGAATCAGTCAAGATAAATGTTAAAAAAATGATTTCTGTAAATAAATTAATACTTGTTGCAAATCTCATAAAATAACATCACAAGGCAATAATAGAAATTGGCCTGTTTTGGGCTACATATACTGTATTGCTTACAAAAAATTGACAATCAATTCAATCCGTACAGTTATCAACTTTGATAACTGAACCACTGATGAGCTTATCCAGCTTTGGAATGTGGCTAGAATGCTTTTTAAATAGTCTGTTGCTTTTTTCAGCTTGCACTATGAATGCATCTATTCGATGTTTAAAAAAGACATGATGCAGTTGAGCTACATAGTGCTTTGTGGTGAGGGGGTCATAAACAGTCAAGTAAGCTTCTGAGAATTACAAACCTCTAGCTTAAGTGCATTAATACATGTTAAAACTAACAACAAGAAAAAACAAAAATTGTCTTCACTATGTCAGAAGTTTAGAGAATCATTTCTGTCCCTCTGTCCTTCTATTTGACTTATGAGATTTAATACTTTTCTGAATGTGTGTTATGTTCCCAGAAAGTCAGTGAATCAATATTTTAAAGGTTATACTGAATTTGCTGGACTGCAACATTGTGCTTGCATGTAGTATTGTATTTTGACAAAATATCCCCCAGTGTGAAAAAAGTTTCAGAACACAAACCATTTTTTTTTCTGAGAACTTCTACAGAATGCATTACGGAAAAATCAATCAATTAGAATCAATTGGTGAACATAATGATAGAATTATATCAAAGTTTTTTTCTGTGGGTTCTTCACATGTAGGGAAATAAGGGAGAGAGTAAGAATATGAGACCTTGGTATGTGTAAGAAGGGTAAGAAGTACAAAAGAGAGAGAATAGTTTCGTTTGCCCATAGGCAAAATATCATTTTTCTTTATTAGAGTGGAATTAGACACGGCTTGTTATTTTGCAGTTTAGTGGCTGACACATCTCCCCACTCTGATTACTGTGTGTGTTTAAGTGGAAAGCCCATATAACTAAACTTTTTTTTTTCTACTGATGGACTGTGTAGTAAGTTAAATGGAAATAGGTTTCAATTACCAGATCCCACAGCATTTTAGAAAAGAAGACCTCCTTTGTTTGATCACCAACAGACATCAGTTAGTAATTTGCAGAAAAACTGTTGTGGATGAAAAATGCAATGCATTTATGGGCTGTATAAGACCTGAATCATGCCTTGCTTTTTTGTTTCCTGCTTTATAAAATATCCACTTGCTAGCTTTTTTTACAGCATCATGGTCACTGCTTTCATTAAAATATGACTTCCCTTCTTATGTAAAAAAGGTAATAGAGAATCCTTATTTTATAGGTTGAAATACAATTGTATCAATTCCTTCTCTGTAGTCAGTAATCAATTTTCTACAAATTTGTGGTGTTTGTTTAAAATGTTTGGATTAGTTTTGCCCCCACAGTCCTAGGAGACAGTGTATGTAAGTAAAATCATAATTTACTTTGAATAAAAAAGTTTTCTTTGTGTTATCCAGTTTATATTTTAGAAAACATACTTAGTTCAAATAAGCATTTGGTGCTCATTAAAACATTTTAGGTCTTGGAATTGAAAGTTTAATGTTATGTAGAAATATTTACTTGAAAATATAAAAATGAAAACATTAAAAATGACACATTACAAAAAAAACATAAAAATGAAACATAACAGCGAAGTATCTGGGTTAATCAGGTCTTTAGCGAAGATACATGTTTAAAATGGCTTGGGCTGTGGGGCATCGAATAGGTAAACTGGGCATTATTGGTTCATTAGGAGGTAAAAGGTAATGTATGAATAAAAGGACGTGCTTTTGATTTTTTTACAGTAAGAAAAAAAAGGATGACCAAGGCATGGAGCAAGACCTTTCTTCCGAAAGCCATTACAGAATTGTTTCACCAACATTCCAGTATAAGATGAACTACAAGCAAGTTGGGAAATGTATTATTATCAACAATAAAAACTTTGATGAAAAAACAGGTACTGTACCTGGCTCTATTTTGACACTCGTGGCTACAGGGTTAAAATGGTTCCAATGCATTTCATCTCTCACAGTTATTCTGATTATCAAAGTATTTTTGATACCAAAATACTTTTTTCTCATAGTTTTGAGGCACTTCAAAAAGAAGAAAATATAATTTCTTATGTGAAATCACTTCCCTTTTTGAGAAACTGTTTTTCCTAGGCATGATTGCCAGGAAAAAAAGAAAACCTTTTCTTGTTCCAAAACAGTGGGCAAGAACTGATGAACATACTGTAGATCAGCTTCAAAGTTGAAAGGACATGAAAGAGCCAAGACTACAGGACAAGACAAGAATTGGTAGATGAAGAAAACATGAGAAAAAAAATAAATATGGTAATGGTAAAATCAGTCAACTAATGTAGGGACTGAAAAAAACTATGGATAATATTAATAAATATATTAATAATGCAGTTGAATCTTGTAGAAAAAATATACATTTGAAGTGTGAATCAATATAGTAAAAAAAAAACTCAAGAAATATGATTCACCTGAAAAATAAAGAGCAGACGTCAAGATCAAGTAGAAACTTGACTCGAAACAGGTAAAACACTTCAGATATCTCAGGAATCTGTTTGCAGAAGATTCAGAAGTACAAAAAGAGATTTAAATCAATGGGGAAAAGCAACAATCACCAGGAAGAAGAACTTACTAAAAGACTAAACGTAGAACTGAGGAAAAGCTTGGTCGTTACATTGATCTGTGGCATGGTTCAATATGCAGCAGACACCTGGACTTTAAGAACGAAAGATATTTGGAGAGGTTTAGATACGGAGAAGAATTCTGGACAGATATGAGGAAGTACTGTGGATAGCAGACGAAAGAGGAAGTTTAATAGACACCATAAGATGCCAGCAGAAAAACTGGATTGGTTGCATTCTGTCACAAAGGGCTGCTCAGCGATGTCTTAAAGGCAGAAACAAAGGAGCAGAACAAGATGAAGGAAGACATGAATAGTGCTGGTTGTCAAGTCTTATAGCCAGCTGAACAAAAAGACTTTATTGTGCAGCATGGAGAAGGGACTGCATCTAAAATCCGCACACTGTGTGGCACCAGACATGATGACAATGACAAGGACGTGATGTCACACAGAAACCTGCTTACTCTGTTTTTACAAAGTTCAAATCCAACAAATTAGTTCATATAAACCTCAGCGACGTCATATTTCTATATGCACGTCTGTTATCAGTTAAGGTAACAGATTAGGGAAACATGAGAAAAATAATTCTATAGAGTTCTCAGTGATGGATGGAGTAAGGCTTTTGTTTCCTTCTCATTCATTTCCTTTGTTTTGTTTTTTTAAATAAAAATTCAAACTTGTGTTTGGAGGAAAGAGGTCACTAAAGTTTTTTTTTTTCCAGTTCAAAGCACATTGCCTGTTAACTTGATGTTTTGTGTTATGTGTTTTTAACTTGCTTGCCTGTTGCTTCTACCCTGTTGCAACAGTCATTTCAGAACTGGCTTATAGGTAAAAAAGAGAGAAGCACACAGGGTTAAACCATTAAGAAGGAAGAGGATCCAAGCAATTTCTCTTTATAGAACAGTATGCATCAAGTGAAATAGTTTGAGTGTTTATGCCAGTATGCCAGTGTGTCTGCAGGAATCTGTACCACAGTTACCGGTATTACTACAGACTGGCAGTTCAGACTGGTTCAATTTCTCAAAGAAATTGCCTTTAAGCACAAACCAAATCGAGCCAGTTTACTTACTACTTTGTCATTGATCACTAAGATTTCATGTGACATAGACAAATGATGCCAGAAACACATGTTTTTTAATCATGTATGATCAGTGAATAAAGTAAAGACCTGTACATTCTAACTTCTCTGCATTTTCTACTTCAAACCATCTCTGCATTTTCCTAATTAGACATTGTCACAATTTCCTTGTACAATGAGTGAAGTTGGCTGCCAAAGTTCAGTGTTCTAATATCTCCTCGTCTTCCCCGTTATTTTTTTGTTTAATTTTCCGAGGACATCATCTTCCACAATCTCTTTAGTGATCAGACAGTGTTTTGCATCTCAGTCTTCCATGCTTAAGTAATCTACAGGCCACATAAGAGCACATGTTTTGGAAACTCTTGAAGTGAATAGTGTCCTCATTCTGGTCCTTATATCCAATAAATTGGTCGGCAAAGAGAAGTGTTTTAGAATTTGTTAAAAATGGGACAAAGAAAATCACAAGATTGTATAAATAATGCTGGTAGTACACAGGGGTTAAGTAAAGCGTATCTTGACTGGGGTTATATGGTTTAGTAGCAGTCAATCAGTTAGTGCTGCTTTTCAATAACAATGTGGGTATTTTCTAGAGATAAAATGCATTTAACAGTTATAAATGTGTTTATAATGGCTGTACTCTCATTAAAATAAAATTGTAATGTAAAAACAGGCTTACCTTTTGAACTTATGGAGTGCATACCATTTGTTTTTCTTTTGCTGTCGGGTATTTCTCATTTTTACATAATACTGTTTTCTAAGTCATATTTTAATGGTAATGTCAATGAAAACCATGTGTATAACTTTAGGACAGAATACAGAAAGGATCAAATCTGATCTGTTTCAGTCTTCACATTCCCTTTTTCTTCTGTCTAAAGACTAAACCATTTGAGATGATTAATGCTTCATTTTTCTGTCTTTTTCAGGAATGAATGTAAGAAATGGCACAGACCGAGATGCTGGAGAACTGTTTAAGTGTTTTAAAAGCCTGGGCTTCAATGTTTTCATTTACAATGACCAGACATGTGAGAAAATTGAAAAATTACTCAGAGATGGTAAGCTAAATATAATAATTTTAACTGGTGATATTTATTTACAACCCCTTCCCCCCTGCTTTTTTGCCTTTGTCTTTTCTGGCTCACAGATAATTATGTAGTACATTTGGAGAGTCTTAAATTCAACGTATACAAATCAATATGCGAGACGAATGTTTAATAATTACATTGCACCCATAGAATATCAACATACCATGTAATGCATAGTTACTTTCATTAAAATCTAATTTCATTTTCTTAATGTGTGGTATCAATTTTTAAGCCCTTTTCAAACCCTCCACAGATGTTTTTAAGTGAGAGTAGATTGGACAATTATAAAGCAGTTAAAAGCATGTCAAGTTTCTATTGAGCTCTAGGCTTAATGAGCTCTTTACTGACTGGATTTATTGATGAGAATGATAAGACCCATTGTGCTGTGAAGCTAGTACCAGTTTAACATTGAAAATCAACCTGATGTTAAAATAATAATGCAAGTGAAGAGAACAAGAGTTAATTGCACTAATTTTCTATAATTCACACACTGTAATCCCTCAAAGCAGTTTCCAGCCTTTGTGTCTTTGTGTTGTGTTTTTTTTTTCTTTTTTGAAAGAAAATAAAAAAGACAGGATTTAATGCTAAATTTATAGCAAATGTGTAGGACTGACAGAAATGTTTAGTTAAACTCCTACGGAGCAAAATGGAGCACATTAAAAGGCTATTAACCCAACTTAACCTCTGCTGAAATCATAAGGAAAGAGACCCCTGTGGTTGCTGATGATGTGATGTGATGGGAAGGATAATGAAGTGTTAATCAATTTACAGCAGAATGATAGGGCTCTTCCGTTTCAGCTGATATTTGTTGACCTACGTGCATTCTCACACATTTTAAGATATTATTGTTTCATTAATTAAGGCACATGTTAATTAAGAGTTCAAGTTCAATTGTTAACTTTGTATATCTTCAGTAATCCCATTTTAGTGATGACGGGCAGAAAAAATCATTTTAGTAATGCGGGCATTTTTTTAACAATGGTGTTTATGAAAAGAAGTTATTAGGGAGTATATTTCATGAGAATGTTTTTATTAGAGTACATATTTGTAAAATGTATTCAAATATTTTTTTAAAATACATTTAAAATAAAATATTTTTTTTTATTTTAAAACATTGTTAATTTTTTAGCTTTTACATTCATGTTTAAATTTATATAAATGTGTCCCAGACATTTTTTAGCAGTGGGTTTTTCTAGAGACATTATTAAAGTAGGAATTGGATTTCTCCTGTTTTCTGTAATGAAACAATTTATCACTTCTTTAATGTTGCCATCAATTTGATACCAGATCAATAAGTGCTTAAAATTAGAAAGTTTAATATAGTAACATTAATAATAGTAGAAGACGTTAATATTAATGTATTATCTGCACGAGTTGCAACATTCTACTCTAATGACTAATCAATATAAAATAATAATCAAAACGTGAAAATATTAATGTTCTTTGTTTCCTAGTCTCTCTCATCTTTCAGATGTCTAAAAGTACATTTGAGACACTTGTGTATCTCAGTTACAGCAGGGAAATGTTCATAGTTGTAACTCACTCACATATTTAGATCAATAATTAATGTATATTTATTGTAATTATAATGAGGTAAGTCCAGCATTAAACATTCTCATTACATTTAGATTAGCTGCTTCTTTTAATGTTGTTATAACCAGAATTTTTTGCATTCTGCTTCTACATGAAAAAGTGAGGCATTGATTTGTTAAATGTAACAGAATGTAACAAGACAATTAACTAAAAAATGGATCTTGAAACACTTTTACAATAAAGACTGATATCTCATCTTACAGAGATGAGGTAATGTTAATTTGAACAAGAGTAGAAGCAGCAGAGGAGGAAAACAGAAACCCAAATGTTTTCAGCTGTTTTACAAACAACAATAACCTTGAATCTTGCATGCAGGCTATTAGGTGAACTAGTAAGCATTTGAAAATGCACAATAAAATCCCTTAAAGCAGATTCTTACTGACCCATCTGTTACAAGACTTCATGATGATAGTCTGTGGGTGAGGAAGAAAATTAAATACTTACAAAATGTGGGGACTGAGATTCACACTTTCCTGTTTTAAAGAGACTGCTTTTCCTTCTTTCAGAGGATACTTAGGATCATTGACAATTTTAATGTGTTACATTATTTAATGTAACATATTGTGGGCATTATAGCAAACCCTCTTCATGTGATAGACCTGGAGTGGGATTTCCATTTAAGAATTTAATAATACGAAGGGGCTTACGATTCTTTATATATACTGCATATTAATTTAGTAGGCTGTCACACAGAATTAAGCTTTGAATTGATCACAGTTGTCCTAGCAGTGTAATCATTTATGTCCCCCTCCCTAATTGGTTAGCCTCTGAGGAAGATCACAGCGACAGCTCGTGTTTTGCCTGCATCCTCTTAAGCCATGGAGAGGAAGGGATGATCTACGGCACCGACGGAGCGATGCCAATCAAGAGCGTCACCTCTTTGTTCAGGGGAGACATGTGCAAGACTCTGGTGGGCAAACCCAAGCTGTTCTTCATTCAGGTGAGGAGCCTGTTCTGTTTTCACCAACCACGTTGAAAGCATTGTGGAAGTGGATCATATGAAGTATGATCCTCTTGATGGACCTGAACCAATGACCTGAACCCTGAACAGCCAGTCTGTAGGCCTGTACTTGACTTTCGGATCATTTCTAAACCACTTAAATATAACAGGTTGTTAACAGTAACTATGCACTGAAGGATAGTGGTGCACTAGCAAAGAAATGAAGCCTTACAAAGTCAGCATTTTTCCTAGGACTTTTGATTTGCTCTATAATGATAAAGTCCAAATCTGTAATAAATTTAAGTAATTATCAATATGAGCTGTTTCTGTTCCATTTACAGTATGTATAATTTACCAAGTCAAAAATCATTTAATTCTTTTTGTAAGCATTTTTGACATACTTTATATTTTTATGGAAATTCTCATTTTATGATTTTGTTTTCTGTTGTAAACCAGGCTTGCAGGGGTTCAGAGTTTGATGATGGAATACAAACAGATTCTGGCCCTCCGAATGATACTTTGGAAACTGATGCCAACCCCAGGCATAAAATCCCAGTGGAGGCAGACTTCCTTTTTGCTTATTCCACAGTGCCAGGTAATTTGACAGTATATCCATTTTGAAAGAAGCAGTTTTCAGAAATATGCTATTTCAAACCATTGCAAAAGTATTTACAAATAGCTATTGAATATATCAGGTGGAACCATTGTCATGATGTGTGAGATACTGTCCGTCAAATACTGCCTCACTACTCATAACTAGTACCTGAAAGGAAGCAAACCTATGGGCCTTGCATCCTCAGAGATGTGTGCGGTTTTTGTTTTTCTCCTCTCAATTGCCTGATGGTAACACTGTTACTCTGTGATAAACTAAACTACTTTTCGTCCACTTAGCTCATTCCCTTTTGACTTACTGTATTCCACACCCTTATCTGTACAGTTTTTGTAAATAACTGTGAAAGCAGTCTAACTAGTTGTGAATAGATTGGTTTTGGGCTTAGAAAGCATTTCTTTGGCAATATCTTCACTCTTATTTTGCCAATTTGCATCCCCTAAAATATTTTTTTATTTAATGTACTGTAAGCTCACCCAGTGGATACATTGTGAAGCAGTTGTGTAGGGAACACAGAATTATGAGGTGAAACATATTTAAACATGACTAACTACAGATCTGAACAAGAGTAGATAAGAAAACAAGTCCTCAAGAAAATGTTCTTTTTAAGTATTAACAGAGCAGATACCAAAACCCAATGTTTTCCCTGATTATCTGAAACATAGTTGGAAAAACTTCCATAAATCTTACAAAAGCTTTTTTTTCTTTTGAAATATTCTTGTATTTTGCCTTTCACGTGGTCTCATGTTTGCACCCGATAAGTAGAGATCAGTTGTAGCAGCAGTCCCATAAATTAACTTTGCTTGTATAGGATTGAGAATATAGCGTCGCATGATTCTTTTTTCTTCTGCAGTTTTATATAACATTGCCATATGGCTATACAGGCTTTCATCTAAGCTCCAGATTGTGTTTGACAGCACAAAAGAACAGAAAAGCCAGTTAATTCCAACTTCTCCATTACATTCTAGTGCCAAAGAAGCTCCAGCCTTTTTTTCTAATCAGGTTTCCATTTCAATTGTGTAGGAAAAGTGTTGGATTCAAATTTTCCATTTATCCATTCATATTACATATTATTTGCATTGTGGCTCATATTCTGTCATATTTATTACTCCTGCTCTCTTAGACCTTAAAAAAAACTTCAGTTGCAAATATACATATTTTGATTATTTCCAAGTTGAACATAATCATGATATATCATTTTTGGAGTTATTTAATTGTGGTTATGTAGATGAAAAGGGAGCTCACAAAAATAAAAGAGAAAAGAGGGTGAAGAAAAGGTTGCTGATCAAATAAAATGAACAAAGAGAGAAATGATCTGTCCAGGGTAGGTAAGAGAAAGGGTGGAGAAGGTGCCAATAACAAGATATTATTTCAAATAAATGAGAACTTATTTAGGGGTTTTTTCTTGCAGTTAACTTTCCAGTTAACTCAGTTAATTCGAAAATTCAAATTTTCCACAAATGGAAAGTAAATGGAGCTGAAGCCTTGAACAAACTCATCTGAAAAAAACAAGTAATGATGTTTTTGAATTATGCCCAGCCGGGCCATGCAAAACTAGCAGTATTAACCAGGCTGCTTATCTATCCAAATGAGACACGAGAATAGTAACCTTGAGTATATCCTCTTTGCAGATCTGCTGAGAATTTGGGTATATAACAGTATCAGCAGTTCTAAAATAAGAACCAAAAACAACAGATATAATGAAAAACCTTGTCTCTGGCCAGCAATAACTCTAGGAATGTCACTGACTCAGACTGTATACAAGTGGCTGGACTACAATATAGGATATAGATATCGTATACTGTAGGTAAATTAATGGCCAAGACCAAAGCATCTAGAGCAGCCAAAAAGTAGTTCATTCCAGGCAAACAAATACTTTTTCTGCAATCAAAGAAAGCACAACAGTGCTAGTTAGTTGATATGGAGCTCGTTCCAAAATATGGAACAGGTGTTGTGTGTAAATGTAAGCAAGAGTACCCTTTAAGACAAGTAATGTGTTGAGATGTTCATAGTGTGTAAGGTCATATCTCTTTCTGCCTCAAAAAGAAACATTTGCACATGTCTGAATTTAATAATGATATTGGCCTTTCTACAGAACTTTTTGAATCCCTGCTTAAAAGGGCTGTATTTTATTTCTACATTTTTCCCTTTCATTGGCTATTTTTCACCAGCAGCATTTAAAGTGTTTTCCAGTTTTGCTTAAATTGGAGATGCATGCCAGCCATTTGGACACAATTTTCAGTTTAATCAACATCCACATCAATCAATAGCAACAATTTGTATACTTTGTTTTTCTAAGAACGTACCTGCATAAATGATTTTTTTCTTCTGATTCTTATAATAATTATAACAGATCCTGTCTAAGAATGTCTTAGAGATGTCTTTATCTATATGATGTAATATGTTACATCTTTTGATAGGAATGTACATGAAAGGATTAAATATTTCACCCGTAACATTTATGGTAGCCTTGCTAGAGTATAATTAACTCATTATCATTTACTAGAGCGGTTATTCTAGTCAAAGATCTTTTATGAAAAGAAGTGAAATGACAGAAGATTTACAATTGGTGTAAAATACTCAGTTTGCAAAACAAAATGGAGAATTTAGTATTAATGTAGCTTGACTGGTGGCTAGATTTTGTTCTACAGTACTAGCCAGGATATTTATTTTGGAAAAATGTGAGTTTTGGGGAATAGGTGCTGTCTTCATTAAAGTAATTCCAGAATAAGGCAAACATGTTAAGGTGGCAGTTTAAAGCTGTTGTTTTGTTTTGCTTTCCCCCTTTTTGACACCTTTTGCACATTGCAAGCTCTGGTAGAAAGTTCCTCATACACCCTGCTTATAGGCATTTTCAATATCTGTGCAAGACGCAGGTTTATATACGGGGCAGAACTAATCTTGGTTTAAATTTTTGGTTAAAAAAGGCAACATGTGGAGAATCCTTGGTAAAAACAGTAAAGTGAAATATAACACATTGTGTGTCATTCATATTGTTCATCATTTTTTCACATGTGACATAAGCAGACATAGAAGTGCTGTGATACTCACCTGATGTATGTGCATTCCAGGTTATTATTCATGGAGGAACCCTGGCCGAGGCTCATGGTTTGTTCAGGCTCTGTGCAATGTCCTGAACGAATATGGAAAAGACCTGGAGATCATGCAAATTCTTACCCGGGTCAACTACATGGTTGCTACCAACTTTGAGTCATGGTCTGAAGATCCACGCTTCAGCGAGAAGAAGCAGATACCCTGTGTGGTCTCCATGCTGACAAAAGAACTGTATTTTAACTGATGTTAAAGTTGACCATCAATGGTCACACATTCAGGGAGATTTAACCTTTATAGCTTTATTTTCTTCAGTGGCACTCAACGTACATACAGTATATTATCCTTGGATTTTGTCACGTCGGCAGGCAGTGTTTAATATTCGTGTTAATTAACTGACCTGAAAATGTGGGGAAGTCTAGAAGGAAAACACATGTTAAAAGGGTACAGAGCAAGTCACATAGTATTAAAGCACTGCTTACCATAGCGGTACTCCGTGCTGTCTATATTCCTAAAATACAATGTCCATGGTATTTTTTTTTTGTATTTATACCCCCCATTTGTAATCCCCAATTGTTTCTATTGTCTATATGTTTGCCTCGTAATAATAATTCCCGGACCTACATTTGGAAAGGGATTAACCCATTCTATTAACCTATTAAGTTATTCATCTTTGGATGCTGGTTGGTAGGTATTGCCATTATTTCTGAACCAGAATTTTCAAACCATTTCAAACTGTGCTGTAGGTGGTGCCATCTTTTGAATGAAATGTTATGGGATTAAGGATCCCTGGCAGCGTTTATAAGAGTATGGGTAGTAACCCCATTGTTTTGGCTAAATTCCATTCTATGTTTTCATTATCTAGCCTACCTAAAGTTACCTCTTATTACAACTGGTCAAGTACTTCCTCAGTTCTCCACTGAAGTGTAGTGGATGCTAGCAAATAATGGCTGCTGTGCATCAGATAGGTGGGTGCTGCAATTCAGTGCTCAATAAATTTAGTCCTGTCCTGTAGGTGTTTTGGATGGAACAAAAGACATTATATAAAATCAAGGAATAATTCTTCTACAGTTACACCAAAATTTGATTTGATTATATCACCCATCTTTGTTTTAAGAACCTGAATAGAAAATGTATGCAATTATGCTTACTGTATATTGTACATGGTATTTCCGGAATACATACAACACACCTTGCAGTGCTGGAAAGCTGTGTGCTTGTCATTGACACCAAAGAATGTTCTGTAACCCTTTAAAAGAAATACTGAAAATGCAGGTAAATCTTTAGCAGCCGGACTGAAAATCATGTAAGATCAATACATGTGTTTAAATCAAAAATAGAAAATAAGAATCGGAATGTATGCTAGTAGTTATGAAAAACTTATTATCAGAACCAGAAGTGAATAGAATGACTAGAATTGCAGGTGTGTGGGTAAATTTGTACAAATCTTATAAATTCCAGGTTAAGCACATTAGATATATATATTGAAATACCTGATGAGTTCTCACATAAAAAGGTAAAAACAGTCTAGGTATGCTTATGACCTTGTTCTTATGCCATGCGATGCCATTTGAAGAGGGAGTATAATTTATATAGAATTTAAAAAATATATATGCTGTGATACTTTTTTCCCTCAAAGCTGAGCGCTGAATCGGATAGTATACCTAGTGGCTGAAAAAGTATCAACACATTTTCATTTTTATATGTAATATTGAAAGAAATGGTAAACTGCTTATACCTTATACACAGACAGAATACTCTATATGAGTTAATATATTTAACAAATATATTTACTGCAGTAATAAGTTTAAAAATCACAGCAAAAATAATTTCCTTTATATTATATTATTTACATTGGGACACTTCAGTGACTACTCACATTTCATTAATCCATGTATTCATATCATTTTAATACTTCAAGCACAAAAGTTTTTAATGAAAGTATGATGGATTGTAATGGTATATTGTTATAATGTTGACTTTGGGTAACTGACCACTAAAGGTTCACATACATCATCAGCTCTGTATCAGTGGCTTTCAGACAAAGTCATTGGGATGTATAAAAGCAGCTTTAGCAGCTTTTTTCATAGAATCAGTCTAACCTTCTTCATTTTAGGTTACCCTTTAAATGTCAAATGGTTATCCTATTGATATGGTTGAAGTATTTTCTATGCGGTTGTATCTTCTGGCTTTTGAAAAACATTATTCAAGATTGCTGCATTGAAACATTAATAAATATGCAAGTTTACTGTTAGTATGTTTTGAAGAACAATAATGAAACACATTGCTTCTGTGAGACTCAGAAGGTGTCACTTTTACCTAGATGTACAATGAACAATTTATTGTGCAGATATTTAAGACTGGGACAATCCAGGCCAGAGCAGAAGTGATGCTAAATTTTCTACTATTGCCTTGCAATTAAACAAAATATTCAATTATGTATTCCAAGGCAGGTGCATTTGCATATTTATACTGTAAACCTGGAGTATAGTAGTGTGCTGCACATAGACTGTAAAAGGATATACTGTATGTATGACCTTGCATACAACAAATATCAGGGTTTTATAGCTTTTAAATGAACACATTTCTTCACGCTGGTAATTTAATATTGCATGTACAGCGTATTCAAAAGTCAGAAGCCTGCTAATCAGCAGAGGCAGCTATTGCCGATGTTAATCTCACTGTTTCAGTGTTTTATTTTTAGCAGTGATTTTTTTATTTTATTTGGGGCAACTTAAATGTTGTATCATACCTTCAATAATACAGTAGAATATGTTTTAATTACAAGAGTTTTTTAAGTAGTACTGCACTCTAAGATAATTTCCCAGGGTGGCAAATCACCCCATATGTTTTCTTTGATAAATCAGTTTTTACAGTTCATCAAGGGTACTAATAAATGTTGTGGCTACTGTACATCTGTGCTTCTGTGACAGTATTGAACTTTATTTTAAATGCTACTCCTAAAAACATTAAAAGACTTATCCCGATTATAACAATTAAAGCTACAAAATGTTAACATGAGAGAAATAGACTGGAACATGTTATGTTATATTTCACTATTCATTTGTGAGCATACTCATGTCACTGTGTTAGTGGATACTGAATGGAGGAACTGAAAAATGGGTAATTAACTGAGACCATGAGAAGATTCATATTATGTAAACTAAATGATAATCCAGTCCAATCTTCAAGATTTAAGTATAAGATAAGGGTCATAAATAAGGGATTTGGAAAACTCTTTTAGGTTTGAACTGCTTCTATTGTTGGATCCTTTTTCAATGCTGAACTAGATCTTACAGGGACAGCATTTGAGCCCTGGGCTCAGTTATGTACCTTAAATACAGCGAATAACCAGATAAAGTAAATTGAGAAGTTAAGAAAGTTGAAAAGTGCTAACATACTTTTGTTTACAGCCAACATACAGTAAGTCTATGAGAAATTTAAAAAACGATAAACTGCTGTTCCACAACAGATTGAATGTTTTATAACAATACCTCCTGAACTATTCCTTTGAAAAGTCATTTAAATTTATAGTAGAGCCTTTCCCCCAAAGTGACAAATTACAGATTAACTTGAAGTTAATTTGCTTCAAGGTGGAGAGAAACTTCAGTATGAACAACATGATAATATACAGAATACTGAGCAATTGCTGTAATTTAATTATCTTAATTTTATTGTACAGTAGATATGTGTACTTTGAGGTGGTACAGATTGCCTCTTTATGATTCAACTCTTTTTAAAGGTTACTATGCATTGGACTCTCAACTATAATAAAGAGCTTGAAACTCAGGTTTTGCCTCAGGTTCTTTTAAAGTAACCAAATTAATTCATGTTATCATATTTATCATCCTAATAAATTTTAGAGTTTCCAGATTTGCTGAGTTTTATACTGCAAACAGTTTGCTCAGATTTTGTTCTGGAACAGGATCTTCAGAATTCTTTCTCAGTAATGTTAATTAAGTAGTAGTCAGTGTTAAATAAATTGAAAATATCATATTAGAAACATACATTCCCTCAAAAAGGAAAAGAGAAGATCTTTTTCTCCTCATAAGAGACTTGTTGTCTATGCTTCAAATTACAAAAAAAAATGTTCATATGAAATAGTTTGTAATCACAATAAACTCATTCTGCTTTGGATTTATACATATTTTTCTTCATGTGTTAACCCTGTTTATAGGATTCTAGTAGACAGGGAACAAAAACTGCTAGATTTATTCTTATTATATTTTCATCTTATAAACATTTACTGGACTGGTGTGATAAATAACGGTAAATGCTGGTAAAAGCATTGTAATAAGCAGAGCACTTAAAAAGGTGTAATAAAGTAGGATTTGACTTTGCCGTGCCACATTTTGACAGACATCTCTTTTATTCCTGTGAAATTCAGCTTCTTTTCTGGCAGTTTTCTTGTCATATTGCCATATGCCGTAGTGTCATTCCACCATATGGACAATGTGTAATAACTCTCCGACTCTCCTTGGTTCCATAATCACCTTACGTTCCCAGACTTCTGTCACTGCACCAAAACAAAGGATTCACAGATTGCCCTGCATTATCTGGACTATGAAAACAAAGAACTCAAGTTTTATATATAAATTTAAATATTGACTGCCTTTATTAGGACTTGCTTGCACTAAACATACAGTTCATCAACCAAAAATGTAATTTAAGCACTGTGTTGAGTTTTTTAATTTTACATTGACATGCCTCCATTCACTGTGGACTATTTCCACTGAATAAGCATTAACCATCTGTTAATCTCTCTAGTGTAGCTTTGTCTTAAATTATTCTTAACTTTTGCATTTTACTTAGAAATTGTACAATCAAAAGTACAATGTATTAGATACTAGAAATTAAGAATCTAGTTCTGTAGATGGAAGAGAAAAATCTGTAAATTCTGAGAATGTAAAATTTATCATTTCTTTTTATCTTTGCCTTAAATTATATTTATGCTCTCACACAATAGACCACACTTAAGGGATTGATATCCCTTATTCAATCTAAGTAATACTGGCATGTCAAATTACTTTTATCACATTTGCTCTTTAACATACCTTGAAAAAGAAAAAGCCTTTTAATCCTTTAAATCCTGTTTTTTTTTCCAAGATGCCTCATTTTCTACCTGCTATAAAAGTACCTCTAGGAACATGTTCATGTTTTCACAGCACTGCAGAGTTTAATGGGCTTAGTGTTGGAGCCTTCATTGTCATGGCCAGGACATACAGCAAGATGGAGGGTTTCGTTGAACCTGCCAGCGCAGAATGTGAACAGGTGGGTCTGGTCATCAATGCCATAGAACGATATAAGTCCAGCTGGATAGCTCAGGTAGGTTCCGATTTTCTTGAAGTTTTTGCTGATGGGGAGATGATGAGAGACTCCATTGTGCCATGCTGTGTAGTCCCCATTAAAAAACTCAACACACCAAGACTCTTCACCTCTCCCCAGCCAGCAGGTCTCCTCCCTGCCCTTGCGGGGTATTCTGGGATACGTGAGTCCCAGCTCCCAGTACGTCTTACCCTCCACATCCGCTTCCCAGTAGAGCCTCCCATCTGAGAAGCCATCACAGCTAATCACATTCAGGGTAGTGTCAAAGCGGTCCGCGCTCTCTGGAAATTCCTGCCATTCCTTTGTGTAGGTGGCAGTGGTGCCATCTGGGGAAATGACCAGATTAGGATGAGCAGTGTCGGGGTCCAGCCGCACCTCTGTGACATCTCATTTATGGAAGGAAAAGGAGAACAAAGAACAGTGGTGTGAGAACAGCGTTTCCGAATCAAAGGGTTAATGACTACAATGTTCGTTAGTAGGAGAATTCTGGAGATTTTCAATAGTCAAAATAGTGAATGTAAACTTCAGTCAAAGATTTTTTAAGTCCCAAACTCAAGCACTTTTAGTTTTTTGCATTTTGCTTGCTTTATGGCTTTTAAATAGCAGTTTTGTATTTGCAAATAGCTTGTCATTTTTGGGGGAAGAAAATGTACAATTCACTTGTAATGTCAACAGGCCTTAACTCCAAGCAACCAGCTGAACTATGCCTTGAAATTCAAGGTTTAGCATGTAAAAATAGCTTAGAGGTTGATAGTGAAGTGGGGAGTGAAGTAAAATACAGTAAATATACGTGCATCTCATCATTTAACATATGTACAATATGGATATGGAATGTGCCATTTCATTTTACAAAGCCATAGGCTTAGAATAATCACTGAAGCTCCACCAAAGTTAATACTACAAGATGCAAACTGAGGTAGCAAAGCAAAATGAAAGAAATTAATAATGAAGTCACTTACAGCTTTCAAAGACTTTTCTGGTTATGGGAATCTGAGCACGAATGAACAGGAACAGATTGTTGATCAAGCTTAGGATCTGATTAGACTTGTAGTCATCCAGTTGGATGGAATCAGGGAAACTGATGTTCATAATAGCTGTAACTCTGGTAGGAATAAAAAATAACAGATGGGCCCACAAGCAATTTTCAAAATTAGTTAACAAAAAACATCTCTTTTGTTTCATTAAAGGGAAGCTGCATTTCTGGTCACAACTGAAACCACCTTTTCTGAGATATCTCTGTCCTTTTTTTCTTGCTTCAAGTGTCTTTTTGTGATTGAAAGTTGAGACATTAATTTTGTAGGTACAAACTGAGGCATATCATTGCTTTTAATTTGTTTCACATAGGCAGTTTCTCTGATAATGCTTTAAAATATTATGTGCGTATGTGGCAAGGTATACAGGCCCTCACAGACTACAAGAGGAAGAACATCTGTGCACCTGCCCATGATGCCTTCCTGCCTAACAAGCTCGACACCTTCTATGCTCGGTTTGAAGCCAACAACACAGAACCAGTCATCAGAACTGCACCTTCCACAGCTGACCAGCTGCTCTCACTGTCTGCAGATGAGGTGAGGAGATCTCTGCTAAAAGTGAACACACGCAAGGCTGCAGGACCCGACGGCATACCCAGTCACGTCCTCAGAGCCTGCGCCAATCAACTGGCGGGTGTATTCACAGACTTTTCAACATGTCACTGGCCCAAGCCGTAGTCCCCACCTGCTTCAAGACAACCACCATCATCCCAATACCGAAGAAAACCACAGTGACATCTCTTAACGACTACCGCCCGGTGGCACTAACACCCGTCATCATGAAGTGCTTCGAGAGGCTGGTCATGAAGCACATTAAGGACACCATCCCAAACACAGTGGACCGATACCAGTTTGCCTACCGGTCCAACAGATCCACAGATGACGCAATCTCCATTGCCACACACACGGCCCTATCCCACCTGGACAAAAAGAACACATACGCAAGACTACTAATCACTGATTTCAGCTCAGCTTTTAACACTATCATCCCAGATAAACTAGTCAAGAAACTCAGTGTACTGGGTCTCAACACCACCCTCTGCAACTGGATTCGGGACTTTCTGACAGGCAGACCTCAGGCTGTCAGGCTTGGAAACCACACCTCCGGCACACTAACTCTGAACACTGGGGTCCCCCAGGGGTGTGTGCTAAGTCCATTGCTCTACTCCCTCTACACCCACGACTGTAAGGCCAAACACAAGACCAACCCCATCATCAAGTTTGCCGATGACACCACAGTTGTAGGTCTGAACACAGATAATGATGAGAGGGCCTACTGGGAGGAGGTCAGTCTCCTTACAACGTGGTGTGATGACAACAACCTCACCCGCAACGTCGGCAAAACCAAGGAGCTAATCGTTGGTTTCAGGAAACTGCAAACCGGACATGCCCCTATCCACATCAACGGGACTGAAGTGGAAAGGGTCAGTAACTCTAAATTCCTTGGCGTCCATATCACCGAGGACCTCACATGGTCTCTCAACACCACCTGTCTTATCAAGAAAGCACAACAGCGCCTGTACTTCCTAAGACGGTTGAAGAAGGCTAAGATCTGTCCCCAGATCCTCACTAACTTTTACAGATGCACTACAGAAAGCACACTGACAGGCTGCATCACAGTGTGGTATGGCAACTGCAGTGCTGCTGACCGCAAAGCCCTACAGCGGGTGGTGAAAACTGCCCAGTCCATCACTGGGGTTACTCTCCTATCTATCCAGGACATTTATGACAGACGGTGCTTGAGGAAAGCTCTAAGCATCATCAAAGACCCCACACACCCCAGCTACAGACTCTATGATCTGCTACCATCTGGAAAACGGTACTGGAGCATTTGGGCCCGGACTACCTGACTCAGAGACAGTTTTTACCCCAACACTATCAAACTGTTAAACTCCCAGCCTCTCTCACTCTCACCTCACCTCTCACCCATGATCTGAACCTCACAGTGCCTTCTTTCTTTCTTTCTTTCTTTCTTTCTTTCTTTCTTACCAAAAACCCAAACACACATTGTAAATCTACCTCTACAACACATGTCAAAGGCTCACTCCCCATAAGTTCTATCCCTTTATTTCATTCTGTTGATGCATTTTTTTGCACATTGCCTGTTGTTGTTGTTTTTTTTTGCACATTGCCTGTTGTTGTTTTTTTCTGCACACTGCCTGTTGTCTCTATCTTTCTTTTGTTACACAATTGTATTGTTGTTGTTTGTTGTTGTTTTGTTTTCTTGTACTACTTATGTCCGAGAGCTAGCTAAATAGCATTTCGTTATACCATATACCATGTATATGAGTATAATGACAATAAACTTGAACTTGAACTTGAAAATATCTTAGCACTTTGAAAAGGATTTAAACTGCAGAATTTAAGTTGTAGGTCTTGTGTGGGGTCAAAGTTATTTCAGAACTATTCACTATACAAATTTAAACTGTAACATGTCACTCATCATTTAGGAACTTGACTGAAAATGACTTTATCGCAATAACTGCAAAATGGAAATTGTGTGCATTTTAAGCAATCATTTCTTATTGCTAAGTAGTGCAGTTGTTTATTTACTACATAGTGATCAAAGTTAACCTTATAATGAGGTAGACTCTGCATTATAAAAGTGTAGACTGTGTACTAGCAATAGTATAGATTTGTGGATATTACAACAATGGTATATGAATTCTTCATATAAAAAATACAAAGGCCTGTTCACTCTAAGAAATCATGTGCTTTTCTATCAATAGTGTCATATAAACAACCAGAATGTTTTCCCAGTGACAGATAGCAGAGACTGATAATGGAAACACAGGGTAGTTGAAAATGACAGTAATGGTGCAGCGAATAGCAAGACTTTAGCAGGTCTTCCACAAGCGGTGGAGTCAACAAAAGGGACTTCTCTCCGAAGTAGCATTAGCCTCTCCTGAACTGTTGATGCTGATGCGTGTTCTGGTACATTGACCCCATTTTGTAAAATGGCTAAGGGTTGGATTTCTGCAACTGGAGGAAGAGATCTTATTTTTCAAAAACATAATCAGTTGTTTAGTATGAAACTTTCAGCAGTGCATTATCTAGCACAAATTTTTTGATAATTGCATTTCTTCTAGGAATAAGTGTCACATTAGAGTGTGTTGGTGGTGCCACTCCAATCAGCCTGCCAGTTTGTTTGAGTTTCAGAGTTAGTTTTTGAACAGACTTTTCTGCTGATCATCTTAGACAACAGGACTAGTGTATGAGACTATTGTATTTTACTGTATAACAAAGTGAACAAATTCACACCCTAGCTTTGATAATCAAACGGGTATGTTTAGTTTATTTGTGCCTACCTGTCTTCGGTTTGTAAATTCTGTTTGGGAAGAACAATACAGAGAAAGATTAACCATATTTGCTAATCTGTGAGTTGTCATTATGATGCACAGACAAATAATCCTAATCATCTACACATTTTAGATTCACAAAACCCAAATATCTGCACAAAATATTTACAATTACATATACATTATGAATTAGATTATTAGAACACCAACATATCTCTCATTTATTGTACTTTCCAACACAACTTTATAAGTAGCTTTACAATTTATAACTTTACAACTAAATCATAACTAAAAATACAAGTCTAACATTTCTTGGAAGTGTGTTAGCAGTTCCTGTCTTGATGAAATATGAAATTGTGCCCTATCAGCAATGGAACAGAGTGGTTGATTACGAAACTGATGAATGGTTACAGTTCATCTGTTTGAAGGGGGAATCCACGTTTATTTTCTGAAAAAAGGCACGTGCAATTGATTCTTCTGTTACAGTTCAAAATTAATTGATTTGGGTCATATGAAAGCCTCAGAAAGCCTCTGTTTTTTAAAATATTTTCCAGGATTTGCATGTATGGGGTTTTTATTTGGTATACTGTATGTGCTTGGCTGAGAAGCCAGTGGTGGAAAAGTCAGAATCCCCCCAGAAAGGTGCACAACATACCAAAACTGCAGAATTGTGTGTTAAATTTGCATTCTGTCTTATCGTAAGGATTTTTATTTTTTCATTTGTTACTTTTACCGTCTTTATATGTTGCTCCTGTTGATTGTTCTGTTCCAGCTGTGCATTGAGCTCAGACAATTCCATCTCAATGTCTTGAGTAACCAGGTTACATTTCTCTAGGAGGTTGTCAATGCTAAACAGAGCTGCATTCGCTTCCATTTCCAGCTGGTTTAACGTGACTTTCAAGTCCTGGTCTAGCACTCTTTTTATATCTTCAAACTTTTTGGAAATGTTTTCCCTCACTGCTGTGGATTTTTTCTAAAAAAAAAAACAAACAAAAAAGCAAAACAAAAGGTATCTGTTATGTTTTTGTCTTTTTTGCCCTATTTCTTCATTTATATGTATTTCATTTTATATGTATCCTTTAAAATTGCTTTTCTTGGAATATATTTGTTTTAAATTGAAAGTATTTATTAAAATAAGACAATATTATTGTGCTAATTTAGAAAATTTTACTGTGTATTAAGGATGTTTTTGATTCCCTGTTGGCTAGAAGAAAGTATTTAGCTTAATTAAACCTTGAAGAATATAGTCTGTTTATAGACTATTTATATACTATATATAGACTATATAGACTCTATATAGTCAATACAAATAAATCATATACACATACTGGGAGCTACAAATAAACAGAATAAAAGTGAAGAAGTGTACTAATTAAACAGTTTCAAGGGTAGGAAAGGTTACATTTTTCACACTGGCACAATTTAACTTAGATGTACTTTCTTTCCTAAGAACAATTCCTGCTTATTAATACTACCAAATGTGATCAAAGGGTAACTCCATAAAATAAAATGTATTGTTTTTGCTTTCATTGTTTTCCCTTAATTTAACCAATGCTGTTGTTTTTTTAATTGCTGGCCACTGGAAAAATTGATTTACTTACTGTAATCTCCGTTTGTTTTGCAGTCAGCTTTTTAATTCTGTATTTGACAGCTTCTCGTTGCCTTTTCAGATGTTCCTGCTGCTTTGTGAGCACATCCTGCGAACGAGAAAAGAAAACGTAAAAGAGAGGAATATGAACCATACAGTTTAAGCACAAAAAAGAAGAGACAGGAAATTGCTCACTTGGCATTGTGGTTTCATGGCCATTGCGTCAGTCACCCAGGTAAGTAATTATATAAATATAAAAAGATATGCTTTAACAGTCCTCCTTTCCAAGGACAGCTCAGTTGATTGTGAAATGATTCAAAAGGTAAGTGGCATGCTCATGTGTCCTCTCTTTGGAACCCTCCCCACTGACGTCCCATATGACTTTCAGGTACGCAAGTTGGATTTAGAACAGATATATGGACACATGTAGTTATAAGGTTACAGTGTTAAATACCAGCATGCGCTGTGCAGCACAGGACTGAGAACTGACAACACCTGCCAAGGTCCTCAGCTTGAATTGTCGCAGCTAATAAATTTCAATCCAGGACTGCAAGTGGGATCCCTGCTTTCTGCCCATAGGGTCATTCTGATGCAATGAAAGTCTGTGCAATTTGCAGGTGGTAAAGGTGGTATTTATGTCAAGGGCATCCATTTATAGTCCTTCTTTTTGGCTTGTCAGACCTTCAGATGTATGTTGTGAGTTTGCTGAGCTGCAGAAATGAACTTTGCTCTCAGTGCCATTACCTTGTCATATTTTTTTGAGGAGGCCTGGCTGCCATTTCTAAATGGAGCATTATTGCTGTCCTTTATACAAATGGTTTCCACTGAAGAGACAAGGAATCGGCTTACACTAAAACCAACATTTACAAAGGTTTAGTACACAGCGGACTTTAGGAAAAAAGCATCTGAAGCTCCTACAGGCAGCAGTATTGTAAACTACCGTTGTAAGTCTGAAACGTTTAATTTCATTTAAAAGTAGAACAAAGAAACACACAAAGTTCTCATCAGACCTGAAGGTCACAGTTGCAAAAAAGCACGATTCTGTAGCACTTAAAAAAGGCTTCCACAAACTCAAATACACACAGTTTCAAATGTTTGTGATGTGTGAGTACATGCCACCAATGCAAGATGCAGATTAGCAGTTAGACAGATGTAGTTTGCTCTGTAACATGTAGACCAGAAATGGAAACTCCAGTCCTAGAAGACTGCAGGATCGTTTCACCTCTGATCTTAATTACTGAATTGAACCAATTTCATTGTTATATATGTTATAGTGTTCCTATAAATAAAAATATAATTGGTTTCAATTGAAAGTGTTTTTCAAGATTAAATATAGAAGAACCTTGTTTTAGAATCCCTTCAAACATTCCCATCCTATTTTTTTTTACTACATTAATTGTTCTATTCATTAGTCTTGCAGGTCATGCTCTATTTGGAATGAATGCTATGATAACTATACAAGATAATAATTACTCTTGCTTATTATGATGTGCAAAGCAGTTCTAACAGACAGGCATTGATATTTGTACTAAATACCATCAGGCCTGAAATAGCGTCTTCCTCTGAACAAGAACCATCAATGAATGTTTTTATAAGCAGAAATACTTTTCTGTATCTCCCTTAATTTGTTGCTATGCCATTCTCATAATTGGTGTTGTCATCATGCTTTGAGTTTGCCACGTGCTTCTTGTGCTTGTGTGATCACTGAACCCTGAAATGTGGAGTTGCATACTGACTCCAGCAAAAGCTCGTATTTTTTCCAAAGAATGCATCTGTTATGGACAAGACGAAGGGTTAGCCTTGGATAGAACACATTTGTGTAGGCAAATTTTAAAGACATACTGCAGGCCTTTTCACTGATTTATCTGCATTTACTCCTGGGCCTTTTTTATGCACAGATGTGTTTATGACAAATTTATGTTTATATACAGTATGTAGCATATACACATATACACAAAACCACTTAATTTCTTATCAATCCTAAAGGCATTTTTATGTATGAAGTCTTTGCAAAAAGCTGTAATTCCTACGTTTCGGTATATGTTTCAAGAACCTTCAAGTACTCTGATGTTATGCAAGTGTTTATTAATGTACAACTTTGCAGGGGATCTTTCTAAAAATATCAGGTATCATTTTAAAAAAATGCATTACGTCATTATACCTGTTATTGACAATTCATAGAGTATAATATTGCCTCTTTTATTAAGTATCAAAAATTAATATCTGGGAATACCCATTCTGTTTCTACTAGAGCCACCAGCTGTGAAGACTCATAACAACACCTCTTAATAAATTATTTTTTAGACTCATCAGGGAAATATTGAGTAGGAAACTAATATGCCAAATTTGCCAGGGAATCCCTAATTACATCTGGTCATTAGAATTAAAATAAATACAGGCTCCTAAACCAAAAGCAATAACACTGAATGAAAAAGGAGAAACTTCCTGAAGAGTTTCCTAACCTAATAAAAATTCCATAAACAGGATCCACTATCCAGTAGCCTCCCTGAAACACATCATTGCATTCCTTATCATAAATGTAGACTGTAAGCTTTCCAGTCAGTGTTAGAAATTCCCTCTAGCCGTTTCACATTCTTCCCTGAGCTAAGAGGTACCTTTGGGCTTTCATCATGATAAGGGAGTGGACTTTCCCTTGCTTGAAAATGGCTGCAGGTACTGTAGTACTTTCTAACCTGTTTAATTGTATTTCATTTGGACCATCTTATGTGCCATTCAATACATTTTACAGAGCAAAATCTAGAAACCTTTGTATAATGTGTGCCTTGTGCAGGCAGTGGGATGAAAAACTGTCCCTTGTGAGGTGACCAGTCAGTGTGGTGGAGGCTACATTAGAGAGGGAGGTAACTTTGTTAACTGTGTTCTCCTGCTTGGTGTGTTTTCATTTTGGTCAAAGCCTGTCTTTTCTGTAAATGCTTTATCTTTTTACTTTAACTAAATGAATGTTGTTTTTTGTTGTTCACAGTTCACTGTATATGTATTAAAATGCCTTTGCTGCAAAAGGGAACTTTATCTTTGGGATGTAAATATTCTGACAAATGTCTTGATCTTTAGATCAATAGTTTGGGGGCAGCTGTGGATAAATTCTAATACAAGTACAGAACCAAAAATTCTCTCTCTGTATCATCTGATAATGAATTACAGTCATTCAAATGGTTCCACATTAAAATTATAATCACATCTCCTGTCTCTTCTGAACCAGTATTCATCCTAAATGCAGTTGTGGATGGTGAAGCTCTTCTTCATGAGCAGCAGGTGGCTCAGGGCTGTGGAAGGGGCTCAAAATGATTGGGAAATACTGGGGAAATTTTGTGCAGGGGAATGCAGGCCAATAAGAGACATTGAAGTCTTGAACAAAATGTGTGGACATGTAGTCCAAGCTGTCACTCTGTGATCCTTGAAGAAAATGGTTGATTGAGGTTTTCATATATGTCATAATAACATATAATGAAAATAATAACCCATTTCTATATTGAATTTAAAATGTTTTATAGAATAATTGTGAAGGAAGGCTGGTATGAGTCAGATGTGTAAATTATCACAAAATGTCAAATCTAAGGTATCAAAGGTATACAATTTAAAAATAGTTGGTTTATATAATAAACAGGTATAATATATAGCTTTTAGAAGCTACTTAATAGTATTAGAATGTCCAGTGGTAAACAAAAATGCTATGTGTAAAGCACAGTTTTTTACATACTGCTTAGAAACATATTCTTTTTAGTTGACTGTGTGGAGTTCTGATTATCCCAGCCTAGATTCTTAAGTGCAGAAACATTTGATGTGTAAATATTTATTTTATGGAAATATTTCTAAAATGTATGACGGTAAATTAAAACTTTATTCATAGTGCCCACAACAATTTCTAAACACATCTCCTGATGTTGGGCTTCCTTTCCCCCGAGGCTTCTTGTGTCTGCTTCATTGGAAACCCCCATCAAGTAGTATGTTAGGAATTTGTGATTGACATCTATTTGTGAGTTAAACGTTTTAGTTACTATTTATACTATTCTCTTGTCAGCTTTTTACCAGAAGGCCGGCTCTACCAGTTACCACTATAATATAAAACTGACATAAAAATTGTATAACTTATATATTAAGAATTTTATGGCATGGACCTCTTTTTTCTGTCACAGATGTCTTTACATCACAGTTTGTAACTGTGACAGGAATTCTGCCACGTGCGAGAAGGACAAAGGACGATGTGAAACATTTGTATATACTGTATACTGTACATTTTCCATTCTTAGAATTTGATTTAAGTTTTTTTTATTTTTAAAATGTTACTCAATATTTAGAATATAAGTGTATATGTTCACCTGCAGTATATATAATTGAAGAGAATAAGCTGAATGTCACCAATGGCAATTATGTTTTTAGGCCTCATGAACCTTTAATGTCTGCCTCTGTATCCATGTTTAATGGATCTGAACAATTTAGCTTTTCACTAACTTTCCATTTTAACACAAGTATTAACAAATTAATGCTCCAATGCACTATGACCTCAATTTTTAAAAGAATTAATGAATGTTTATATCATGTCTGTTTTTATAGTTTAGCTGGAAGATTCTAGTTTAACTTAAAGCATAACAGTACACAAATGTTGTGGCTTATTTTTGTGCAAAAGGTCATATTTATCCCTCTAATACAATAAGAAATATAAATCTTTTTTAAGAACTGTTAAGTAAAAGTGTATTTATCTCCTGGCATTTTGTGGCTTTCAAATGAAAATGCTTGAGGACTTGATAGTGTTACGCACACGGCCTCCATTGCTTGTGAGAGCTGGCTTACCAGAGCGGAGACGTCACCGCCCTTCCCTGTGAATAGCAGGGACCACAGCCGCCGGGCTGACGGGAGATTTCCCTTTTGCTCAAGAGGCTGGGTCCATGTTGAGTGACGCTGGAGGCCCAGGTTCGAGTCCCTGACAGTGGGGGCCGACCGGAGGTGGCAGCGGTGAGGGCGCTCACGTGAACCCCGGAGCGTTACAATATACTGTAGGACAGAACTGATGAAAATGAGTGGCAGAAATTACAAGTAAATATATCCCCAGTTATGTGAACAGCTTGAATATTTTGCACATACATCTAGGTCAGATGAGATTAATGGAAAATAGCTCAAATCAAACGTGCCTTAAGGAGATTAATGGGACCTCGTTGTTTACAAAGGTGAATGCACATAACCGGAAAGTTTGCTTGTGACATCACATCACCACAGAATTATCTAGTGGAACTTCCTTCAACATTCCTACTTTAAATGCAACCCAGGGAGGTTTCTCAATGCAAGGAGTTGCCAGAGAAGAAGAAGGATCACAACTTCAGGATACCAGGTAATATCAATGAGCTATTGCTGTTGTGTGCAGAAAAATAACATTAAATTTATTAAGTCATTTAGCAGTTATCCATACACACCTTTACTTCAGAATTAGATTTTTAGAATTAGAATTAGAACAAGTTTTTCTGGTTGGAATAAACCTAAAGCTATTTTTTCTCAGCAGTGAGAGAATTTTAAAATCTATTTGAAAAAACATACAAATACATACAGATTTAAGTAGCAAACAAATGATTACAGATGTATGATTTCTGATGGTTATGTTTACTGCACTGTGGTGATTGACCAACTACTTTTAGTGAGACTTTATGAAGGTGAACTTTCTTAAACCTGAATTATTCTTTGGATTACTGTGTAATGTGCTGGTCTTGTGTTTATCCCTAAAACCAAACTTATAAATATGGCAAAAAGCCCTTTCTCACTGAATCAGTCATGGATTCTATAACGACTCTTTTACAGTGTTAAATGTAATCATTACATCATAGGAATAAATGTATTTTCATATGGTACTGTACATTATATGAATTTAGACAGTTTAGCTGTTTTATTGTACTTTACCATCATTTCTAATTTGTATGATTTTTGTATTTGTTAGTATTTGCTAGTAGAACTTAACTGAGCCAGGAAGACAAAAGGAACAGATTCCTTGGCATACAAGTACATTCCAGTATGCTTGCGGGTTCCAAGTCACAAGAGTGTTTCTTTAAGTACATCGATCTTAACTATGAGTAGCAAGAATCTGCCTGTAGGTCATGATGTTGAATTAGCATGCTTCCCTCAGGTGAGGGTGTTTTTTTTCTTTTTGTTTTATTTAAAAAATCCGGCAGGCATACTGTATATACTTTACATGGTTGATTTTCTTTCTAATACAACCTTGTTTACATCTTTATTTCTCCTTTGTTTCTGCAGCGTTTAACTTGTTTATTTTGCTTGCACAAAGCTTCACTTTTCCAGCATGGATCTTAGGTTCTGAGTTTGGTAAAGGTTTGGCTCTCTTTGGGATAATAAAATGCTGATCTTATACAAAGACCAGATGATCATTATTTCAGTTTTGTACTGAGTTAAAATGGCCAACAAATACACAGTTTTAATTAATGCAAGAACACTTAATGATATAACAATGCTCTTTTTAAGTAATGATGATAGTCTGGTTGCTATTGGCATGACTGAAGGTGTGAAAGTTATTGTCTGGGGAAAGTGATGCTTTGCTTCTATAATCTGCGCTATATACCAGAGAAACCAGGAAATTGGCTCTGTGGTGGACAGGCTATGTCCTGGAAGGCAAATGGTCACTACACCATCTCAGAACTGTCACATCCATTTGACCCATCTGCATTTTAGTTTACTGTGGATCCTGTAGACTGCACAAGAAATTCCAGGAAGCAATGACCCCATGTATCTGTAGCTCATACCATACTCTATGGATACCATAGCCATCTTCTACACACTAGAGCATGTTGAAATGGTGGCAGAAGGAGTGGTAAAGTGATTTATTCAAAGCTGAAACGCGTATTGCACTTAATGGATCCTGAACAACAGTGTGTGTGGAGACGTTGTGGTGAAACCAGGCTTCACAGGAACATCTCAGCACGCTGTCCAGTGGTTTATCAATGCTTTGTGTTCTTACTTCCAGGATTGTGTTAATGAATAGAAACCTCATACCCTATACTAACTTTCTAATGCTTTTCATTCCAGCTATATATCAAGTGTCATAACAAAACTTTCCTGTGATTTTGTTTGACATCTGTTAGATTATTTAATTAGATATGTCCACTTAAAGTTAAAATATTTAATTAAATCCATTAGATCTGGGTGTTGTTTTCTGTTGTTCATCATTCGTTAAATGTTTTTTATTAGAATTTACATTCTGTGTAAGCGAAATGTAGATTAATAACTTAGATAGATAATTATAATAAATTATCTATTTTTAACAGGGTGATTGAAACACATCACAATGCTAAGTAGAGTCAGCTTAAGGAATTCAGGTATGTTAATAAACCATTTCATTACCTAGTATCCTATTTTTGCAGACCGGAACTTAACTACAAAAACATTTTGTTTAATTAAATTGGTTTTAAATGATCTATTAAATGATCTAGTTTCTTGCCTTCATGGATTATTATGCAATGTTCCCTTTAATATATTATTATATATTTGCATTTATAGAATAAATGTTTGCCACGGCAAAACGTTTGAAAATCGATGCAATATCTTTGTATTTTCCTTCTACATATATACAGACTACATATATTATAAAAATGGTGGCTTACCATTTTTAGAGTACAATACAGCTAGTGACCATGACAGTAGATGTCATTTCACTTTTGAAAAGTAGTTCATTTACAATGTTATCATGCCTCTTTCTTTGAGTGAATGAATCACTTTATGCATGAAATGGAAATAAAATGATGCACATGTGATATTTTACAGGTCCGAGAGCTGTGTTTTACAGAACGGATGATGGTTTTGAGGACATAGTTACTGGATCCTTGCTGAAATCCCCTCCAACAGGCCTTTTAAAGACTCTTGTAAGTCTTTGAGAGTAGACACCTTTCAACAAGATATTCAGTTACCACAAAAAAAGACAGTGTGTTATTTAAGATGGTCATAATTTTTTCCTTTCCCCTCATACCGAACTGAAAGGTCCTAAGAAAATACAAGTAAAGGCTTCTTTAAACATGTTTACTGTACATAAGGGATGATATAGTATATTATCCCCTTTCAAAACACTCATATTCTCTCAGTCTCATATTAAGCAGTAGATTGTTGGGAAGCTCAGTGAACTTAAAAAAATATCTGTGGGGACGTAGTTTTAGATGTAAAAAATCAAATTCATATGACAAATAGAATCTTGAAAATGGAACAGAAAAAACATTAAATTTTTTTTTTTTCATTTATCTTCTGCTTCCTACACATGTAGAAATCTTGGAAGAGGCGATTTTTTGTACTTAAAAAAACAAGTGACAATGCATATATCCTTAAATACTACAAGAGTGATGAGGATAGATCAAAACCACAAGGAGTAATAGATATATCTACGTAAGTAATACAATGTCATATTTTTTTATCAGCATGCGATAATGTTTTATGTAAATATGATTGGTTTGCATTTTGACATTTAAAAAAAACAAAGTGTTGCATTGAAATTAAATCTGCCAAAGTTCTCTATACTTTGCCACATTACTATTTGTTATATGGTTGATGAGCTTAAAGCTTCAATCACTAACTCAGTAACCGGTTATTTTAAGTCTAAATGATGATGATGACGTTATCTATAAGCAGTTCTTCTGCAGAATACAACATTACATCATGTACATCCTAGATACAATTCCAGAGCTTGGGTATGTGTTAGAGATGAAGATTTTTTTTCCAGATGATCAAGGTTATTCTTGTTTTTTTTAATCTGGAAATGAGATGTACTACAGTGTCATCTATCACAGTTTAACCCCGATTAAATCTTGCCTTCCCCTCCTGCACAGGAAACGGCAGTGTCTTATACATTTCTGAAATGTATATGGTAGGTTCTGCAGGTGATCTTTTTTTGCTTATGTAAAATATTGACAGCAGTGTAAAAAGGTCATTAAGATGCATGTCAGGTGCTTTAGCACCCAAAAAAAACAACTCTGGGAAAATCTGTAGGTCAAAATTAATTACATCACATCACTTTCAATAACCACTTATACAAGTCAGGGTTAAAGTGGCCTGGAGCCTATTGCAGAAGCATTGGGCACAAGGCAGGGTATACCCTGGGCAGGACACCAGTCACACCACAGCCAATTTTCCCAGAAGCCGATTTACCCACCAGCATGTCTTTAGACTGTAGGTTGAAACCCACTAGGGTGAACTAGGGAGAACATGTAAACTCCATGCAGATAGTACCCCAGGAACTGAACCCAAGGCCCCAGCACTGCAAGGCAGCAATGCTAACCATTGTGCCACCTTCCCGCTAGGTCACAAATTATGTTGTTATAATTAATGATGTTGTACCAGCATAACCTTAAAGATCAACTAGGCCACCTAAATTAAATGTGAAAACATACTGTACAGTGTAATATAGTTCTAAGTGTTCTTACCACTACTCATTACTGAGTAGTGGTAAACATGACTATGATGCTCAACATAACTAAGATTTATATAATTATAAATTCAAAAGCATCATCTAAAACACAAAATGTGACACAAAATATAAAAGTGCACATGGACACTGAAAGGTACGCATCATTATTTGTTTTTCCACAGGGCTTATGCTTGACATTTTAAGATTTTAATTTAATCATATTATGTAAACTGTGTCATTTTATTACAGCATTTCCTATATTTACTTGAGTCCCGAAAACCATGTGAAGTGGAACGTGATTCAGAAGATGTTCAAATGTTCCCCCGAAATGGTGCTTTTTATCCGTTCTGGTCTTAGGGATTATTTCCTCATTGGAGAAAACAAGTAAGTAAAGTTAATTTTCCTAAAGAAATGATTAAAGCAGAGGCATCCTGATGACCAAGAAATCAGAATACTCTTATCTTTTCACCATCAACCATACTTTTTTCAGTCACATATTTGAAGTTTGTTTCATTTTTTTCTCAGCTGTGTTGAGAAATACTTTACTTCCTGTATATGAGCCAAGTAAATACTGTACATAGACCTTATGAAATTTTCCACTGTGTTGTTAGAGGTATTCAGTGTATTTGGACTATTACTTGGGTAGTTAAATAGCTGAGATTAGAACACAAATCATAAGATTTCTAGAACTTTCAGTTGTTCTACTTACTGTATATCTGGATATCCATTAGAGATCTGACTATAATAAAATAACAAACTATTACCATGCATAAAATGAAAAATAACATTACAGGACAAAGTTAGATACTTATTCTACAAATGTTATTACAAGTATTCCAATCGAGTAAATGTATCATCATGACATTGAAGTGTGTAATGATTCGGAACAGGAAATCTGTAAATAAATATTGAGAGCTGTCATTTCTGGTCTGTTTAATAACTCTAATCATTATGTGTTTGCTTATTGTAGAGAAGAAATGGATCTTTGGTTTGAATCCATATATAATATACTGATGTCATTATCACAAAAAGAACATTGGAGCCCAGAGGTACAATGATTTATCTTATTGTAGTTGTAGTAAAATGGTGTTATCAGACCTCATTAAATTATACAAAGGCAAAATTTCAGCTGTTAACCACAGCTGTTTCTTGATTTTTTTTAAACAGAGAATACAGTAATTGTTGCCAGCATTCATGGAAAAAACATTTAAAAATGTGGCTTTAGAATCATTCAAGGTGTTGATACCTGGCTATTTGTATGGCTGAAAACTCAGACCTTTAAAACTTTACTATGGAAAAGAAGACCCTTCTGCTTCTATCTTGCTCATCCCTGCCTGATGTCACATCTGTGCTTGTTTCAGCGAGTGGAGTGTCTAACACAGCGAACAAGAATAGGATCCAAAGACAGCTTTAGTGATCAGGGCTCGCTTGATGAGGTAGAGTACCTTTTCTTTTATATTAAATGTATATAATATTAAGACTGGTTTTCTCTTTTTCTTTGCTTTATCATTTAAGCTGTAGATTATTTCTCTCTGAATGTATGAGCTGCTTATTTTCCTTCATGCAGCTCAAGAGCAAAATACTATATTCATCAGTGATCAAGTTCCTTTCCTTAAATGTCTTTGCCTCTGTTTTTATGAAATAGATTACAAAGGAAGGGGCACCTTTGTTTATTGAGTGCATTAATTCTTCCTGTATCTACAGTATTCCACACCCCTAGGATTTATTTTTTATTTTAGGATTTGATCATGAGATGATGTCTCCTGGCAGGAATAAGTATTTTCATGAAACAAATAATAATAATAATAATACTATTAATACTATTCTGGCCTAAGCAAAATCAGTTATTTCTATGCAGGGAAACGTGTTTGAGGTATTTTGCTTTCAAAAGTAAATATGCTAAAAGAAAACTGTATTTGACAAGGGTGTCATGGTGACACAGTGGCTAGCTTTGCTGCCTTGCAGTAATGGGGCCCTGTGTTCAATTCCTGCAGTGCTATCACTGTGGACTTTGTATGCTCTTTCCATGTTTTCATGGGATTCCTTATGGTGATCTGGTTTCCTCACACAGTCCAAACCCATACGGGTTGGTTAATTGGCTTCTATGAAAGTGTGTTTGTGTCAGTGTGAGCTCTGTGATGGTCTGGCATCCTGTCCAGGGTGTATCCTGACTTGTATCTGGTGCTTGCTGGCATATGTTTTGACTCCCCAGCTACCTTGCATTAGATAAAGCAGTTAAAAAAAATGGTGGATAATTGGTTGTATTGAAGGTATTTGACAATTGGTTATCAAGAGTGTCAAGCCCAGTACAAATTAATCATTTGACAACAGTTTTAAAAACAAAAGCGCTCCCTTAAATGTTTCAGTATAACAAGGGACTAAAAATAGACAACAAGTAGAGACACTTATATAAAACAATGATACTGCACAATAAATGGGCTCAGCAACAAGTCAAAGGAAAAGAAATTCATTTAAATTATTATGTGAATCAAAATGCAAACCAGTATCTGTGTTACGAATGTGACTAAGAAACATCTTTCTTCCACACAGGAAGAATTAAAAATAAGATCATCTTCTGATCCGGAAATGACAAAGGAATGCAGCAGTATAAAAGAGGTAAAGATGACGATTTGGAGTGTATAACATAAGTAAACTAAACATATAGTGCATCGTTCAGTACATATACTGTAGGTTCATTTGTGGAGGATCTTCAGCGTGTGTTTGTTGAAAAGGAACAAGAAAAAGAAAATTCCACTCTAGAAGGTAGAAAGAAGAAACACAGTTTCAGCTATTGAGCCTTCTGCAGATGTGAGAAGAAGCTGTGAGAATGTATTTACACCTGAAGAAGGTTAAATAGCCAAAACAGCTCAGTTCAACTTCCTTGTGATTTGCAGTGCTGTGCATGCTGCCAGTGTAGTAATGAAACAGGATTGACAGGGGTTGGATTTTGCAAAGTGATATTGTATGCTCAAAAATTCAACAACAGATGTGCTCAGAAATGAAGAGACATTGTTTGAGAAGATAATACTTATATAATATAGCATAGTACTTACAGTGTTTGAGAAGTTTTCCCTTGAAGACTGGCTAAATCTAAATGAGGCTACTAGTTTCGAACAAACTGTTAAGATATATTTTTTAAACGTAAAATTGTTTAAATCATGGTTTCATTAAAATAATTAGGGTGACAAGAATTTTATCCTTAAATAAATAAAATCCTTTTTTTTCCAATGTGTTTGCACATGGGCTACATACAATACAGGCTAGTGGAAGATCATACAGTCAAATTCTAAATCACACAGGACTGTCATTTTTCAAAAATAGAATAGGCCTAATAGTATATGTTTATGGTACAGTATGTGAAATTATTATTTTGTGTTACCTTGTTAGCATTAAAATGTATTGAAAGTGAGTTACATAGATGTTAAGTGTTACTACTGTATATGTGCATGTCACAGTTAAGCACTCTGGTACCTCCATTGCCCCACTCATATCTGATCTCTTCTGTTTACTCTAAGCTCTGAGGAAGGTCCTCTCTCCAATATGAATAGCATATTGTGGACAATATGAGGACCTTTCCATATTAAACACTCCAAGCACCATTGGAACAGAAGGGTCCTTGGTTTATTGAATGGTTTCAGTTAACAAACAAAGGACTTGAAAGGAAATGAAAAAAAACTGGCACAAACGAACTTACTGACAGTACCCTGTTTACATGCCGGGAAGGCTACCCTGTTTTCCTAACTTGAAAACAAAACGAACAGACATATACAGAAAACACAGACCGGCAGACGCCATCATTAATATTATATGTAGTCTCCTACCAACTATAACTACTGGTCTACTCATATCCTAATGAGGTACTTTTATCCATGTTAAACATCTCTCTTCTACTCAGGGTGAATCAAAATCACGATCATCTTCTAATCCTGAAACAGCAAAGGGATGCAGCACTATGACAGAGGTAAAGTTGACAATTACTACTATACATAGTATACATAAATTATTACTGAATTCATCTCTCTCTCTATATATATACAGTATACAGTGCCTTGCAAAAGTATTAAGACCCTTCCACAATTTTCACATTTTATTGCTTTAAAGCTTTAAAACTTGCAATCATGATAGTTGTATAACACACATTCAAAACAAAAAAACAAACAAACAAAAAAAGAAAGTAGTAATTAGATAATGTGAAGAAAAATTGAAAAGTCATGATCAATTAATATCATAAATGAATTTAGGAGCATTAAAATATCTTAATGAACCACACAATTATTTGAGTGTCCTCTGTCTGTATACAGTTATAATGGTTCATATAACTTCAATATAAATATGTCTCTCTCTCTCTAAGGACACTTACAGTAGGTAGTACATTTAAAGCAAAGATTCAACCATGAAGACCACGAAGCTTAAAAATATATCAGGGGTAAAGTATCTATGCATAGCTCAAGTGAAGTGTTAAAAATATTGAGCATACAGGTCTGAATTCTAATGCAATCACCATGCTTACCAGCACCACCAGGTTTTTTCTCTTTAGTTTTTGTTGATATGTACTGTAGCCTTTCTTGTTCTTTGACATCTTATGTTTGAGCATTCAGGTTTTGAATGAAATATAAAGATAAAAAAATTCTATGCATCATTTACAGTACCACCACACACACCACATGGTGTCAATATTTTTCAAAGGTACTGTATATACACCTTAAGCATGTACTGTATATACTATATATAAATTGCCAAAGATGTAAATTATTTTCATCACTTCAAATGTAATTCTGCAGTGCAAGGCAACAAAATGTACTCTGACTTTAGTTTTACAGTAGTTTCAGAATGCAATGAATGAATGAAGCAAGTTGCATCAACCTTGCACTGAAAGCCTCGGATGACTCCAACCACCTGCTGCACGATGCCATCTGCAACCGGAACACCACAATCCTCCGATTAGAAAACCGGCACTCACCTTCTAACACAATAAAGCACCTAATGAAAGAAGCAAACAACAACAATGGCACTAATTGGGCTAACAAAAAGTGGCAAGACGCGTGGAATAATAACAACCACAGACTGAAACAATTTATTGACAAAGTATCCAACAAACCCACTGGAAATGACCTACCCAGACAAGCCTTGGTCAAGCTGAACCGACTAAGAATCGGACAGGGCCGTTTCTCGGCCACCCTACACAATTGGGGTCTCACTGATGACCCAACTTGCGAATGTGGCGATGGCAAGGAGCAGACGGCCGACCACATCCTATACTCCTGCCCTCGCTTCAGATGCCCCGGCAACTTTATCGATTTGGATGATGCCAGCCGCAACTGGCTGAGGCACCTGCCTGTGACAATATAACTATGTAACTTCTGCATGTTAAGCTCATACAAATATATATAGAATGGTGGGAGCAAGTTTTTGATTAGTGTAAAAAAGGTTTGAAGACCACATCACCAGTTTTGCCATATTTATTATTACTTGCAATTAATTACAGTCTAATTTACTATCTACATCTAAGTTGCCAAATTTTGGTTTTCCTGTTCCAAGGCGTCTGCAAATTCATCTCACAATGTGGACAGCAGCCCCAGATACTCTGACCCTGAGGTGGCGATCTGCCCTTCACCTGCCTACTACGACGTGCCTAGGAATATTATGAAAGATGTTACGGTAAAGCAAAGTGGGAGCCTTTTATTAACACCAGTAATAAGCAGTGTTAGAGAGCATATTCAGTTGTAGACAATTATTCCTTTTTATGGTTGTCTGCCTAGGAATTGATTTAGGGAAAGATAATCTTCTCTAAAGGCACATCAGAGCAGTTTTGATATTATGCAAACTACCAATAATAGCCTTCATTCAGTCAGATGTTGGTATTTTTTCACCTACACATTTCCTCCCAATTATCATGTAAACACATTTTCTGAAGACGCTCTCTGTTCAGAAATCATTACATATTACTGTTCAATGTAGCCAGGTACAGCAATAATGTATCACATAAAATATGAAAGGAAACATGTACAAAGTTGTAAAGATAATATAATGTTAATTTGTAAAACTGTATATTATTGCCTGTTATGTTTTTGTTTTTATTTTTATTTTTCTAACAGTCGTTTTGTGAATAATTTATCTTTATTTTGTGTTTTTTTTTTCTAGGAAAGAAATGGGAGAGATTTTGAGAAGACAGAAGAAAATGGTCCTAGCTTTTATATGGAAATGGAATCAGTGTAAATTATTATCCTCTTACATGTTTTGTTTTCTGTTGAAAAGCTTCAGATAATAATACCTTGAATTTTTACTGCGCACACAGAACACAGGTTCTTTTCAATGACATACTCCTGTACAGATTAGCCTTCCTCATCTTAAGATTGCCAAATGATGAATTAACTTTTCACACTGTTTTATTTGTAAAAGATATACTGTTTACAGTATATTACTGAACTAACAGAATCCTCCACACATTTCAAACACAACTTCATACTAATTCATATGCATATCCCAGTGAATTCCCTGGTTTCAATAACATTATCACTTTGTTATTTAGTGCATTTTACAGCTCATATACAGTAAAACAATATAAAAAGATTTGTTTTTTCCCCATTTATACAGCTACAAAACCGCAAAAGAAGTCCAACCCAGTAACACAGATGACGCTGCACCTCCCTGTTCAAAGTAAGAATCCCACAGTACTTAAAATTTATCTTTGGAACTGCATGATGATTCAAAATAATTAAATGTAGAACTATCTTTATCCTAACAGGGACAAAGATGACTTAGGGGAATCTAATGAAAGTCTTTTACATACTATTAACGTGGCTTTGGAAGGCCTACAGTTCCAGATAAAACTGCTGAATGAAGACCAGCAACGTCAAACTGTAGGGTAAGAGGAGTGTAGTTAGTTTAATTGTTTGACATGAGATCCACCAAGATCCAAGAAGTTTAAGACCACTGCCTTGAATCAATTAAACTAAATAAATTACTTTTATTTTGTATTAAATAAATAAATAAAATCAGAAATAATCACGGTCATTGTACTTTTATTACACATTGCCCATCTGTGGAAACTGATTTCCACAAAATGACAAAAAAAATCTGCAGTTGTTTCTAACTTCAAAAGAGTGAATGAACAATGTGAGCTGTTAGAGCAACAAAATGAATGTTTTTGCTGCCTTAATGTACATTTCCACTGAAAATCATTGTTACTGTTTAAACTTTTTTAGAATCACTGAAAACCAAATACCAGTGGAAAAGGATGTGTACATAAACCAGAGTGACTTGAAAGACTCTCTGTTCTTGACTGAGGTGGATGGAAAACCATGGTATGTTTTTTTGTGCAGTTAAAAACTGAGAAAAGTCTGTCACATCAAACTTAGCAGCTTTGCTGAAGGAATAATCAGTGCTCCCACATGTAGCATGGATTATGTTTTTGTCTCTATGCCATGTTTTATCCTTGCTTTGTTAGACAGCATAAAAATGAGTATTAATTCATTAAGGTAATGACTTATGTACGTTCTAAATAAGACACAATTCTGCATTATAATTACAGTTTTACTTGTTGCAGTTATTGCTCTTTCATAAAACGAAACAATAAACTCTTAACAATTTTAGGGCTCATTCTTTAACTTGGCAACTAAGGTCCTCCTGAGTTGTCTGTCTTTCCTACCTCATGCCTAGCTTATTTTTAAAGCCCACTGAACACCAAGGCAATAAACATTCTTGTCCTTGTTTAGCAATCATGTGGACTGGGTTACTGATCAGTATATTATCTGCAGTCCTCACGTGGACCTGATGTATAATGTTACAACACATTATATTCTATAAATACATCTCCACAAGGGTCAGAACAATTTTCTGGCATCTGAAAATAAATTGCAGTTGAAACAGGGAGCTGCTAAGTAATATTGAGGAAGGTCAATAAACAAGCTTGTGGCTTATGTCATTTTATTGTTTGTTTTCTAATATAGCATCTCCCAGTGTCTTGGTCTGCCAAACTCTGGATGCCTCTTTCACAAAGGAGACCAGATACTTGCAGTGAATGATCTTCAGACGCAGAATGTAAAGGAAGTACAGACGTACCTGAGCAAGTTGCTGAAGGCACAGGTAGTAAAAGCAATCATCATTGAAGAGTGTAACTGTCTCATGTAAACCAGTTTTCCGGCCTGGGAGCTCAGCTATTGGGTTGTGGTGATACTTGAAAACTCTGGTATTGATCCTTTGTTATAGACATGCATGTAAATAGGGCCTGAAGCTTTTGTGTGGACTTTTGACTGCACAATGACTCTTCAAGCATGTTTTTCTTTAACAAATCTTTCTTGATAATATGAACCACAAAAATCTATTTATTATGAAACAAGGTTTGAGGATCTTACATTTTTAATCTGATAGGCACATACTTGAGAGGCGACACAGATCACTTGTCCTTCAACCTTCATGACTCATGATTTATTCTTTACAATACTCTAGTTTAACCTTCAGATCTGTGTTCTTACCAGGTGTTGCAAAAGAGATTTGCTAACAAGTAGTATTTAAGCATACATTTATACTAGCATGCAGCATAAATAAAACAAAATGCCACCTTTCAGATTTTAAAGCACAAGCATCATGAAATGTTCTTTTTAAATTAGGATGCAGAGATTGCTTTTTAAAACATTAATTGTGATTTTAAAAGAGGTGTGTATCTGAGAGAACCTCAGGAATGTAAATATACTGTAAAATGCCGTAGCATAAGATGAATTAACTGTGAGACTTTATCCATTTGAGTAGATGAAAATGTAAAAAAATAAAACATACTGTATAACTGAATCTATATTTTTGCAGGGTTAAGCCCTTTGAAAAGCTTAACACAACATGGAACAGAGAAAGAAATTGTCTATCTTTTGTTTTTTTAGATTTTAACATATTTAACTATATTCCATTTCCTTTTCAGGTGAAAATAACAATTCAAAGAATACCAGGGTCAGGGTTGTTGAATTCGGACACATGTGCCTGTGACTGAGGGAAAAATATGAATGGAATTAACTTGGTATGAGTGAACAAAATTTATTGGCTATAATCTTTCCTATGTGTAGATATAAGAAATTAAGTGCTTAATGAGTCTTAATTTGGATGTATTACTAGAAAAAAAAGAACAACTCTTCATGATAATTTAACCATATTAAAGGGGGTGGGTGAGACAAAGCTTCCTTGTTCTACAGCTACTTAACTAGTCATGGAAGTCCAGTCAGTAGAACGTACTTAGGTGTATTGTTTCTGACTATAAAAAAATATTTTTTTTTAACAGTGGCAAATGATTGGTGAGGACTTCCTTTCACCATAAGGAGTGTAAGGAATCAGAAGGGGCACCTGATTCAAGAGGCATAACTGGAATTCCTGCTTACCCAAAGCCACAGCTATCGTAGTGATGCCTGTCTTCCTTTCAGAAAGTTCCATCTGGTATATGGTATCCCACACACCTTTTCTACCACAGACTGTCAGCTCTCTCCTCATCACGAGCAATATACTGTCGATGTTTATCCCCTTTCCTCCTCCCAAGCTGGGAAATTAACAGTTATACATTTACCTTCAGTGCACAAAGGTTGAACAGTAAAACAGAAAATGACACATTGTTTCAGATGGAGAAACGTTCCCAGGCCAAATGATGTTTTGGAGCTCATGTGTTCATTTTTTTAAAATGACAAGTGATCACTGTTTTTCAGTCAGTGTTTCAATGCCTTATCTTGACTAGAATAGGTAATACGAGTAAAACTACCTTCCAGTGAACTCCAATCCTACTTTAGGTTGAAGGGTTTTCATATTTCATAGAATGATAAAGAAATAGCTGGCTTTAGCCTACTGCTTACAGCATTAAGTAGTAAGAGGATACAAATATCCTCTGTTATATGGTGACATTGTGAGCTGTTAAGGTGCAGCCATAAACCCCACTACAACTTTTACCTGTTCTTTATTAAGGTAATTATGTTTGTACAGTAGCTATCTGTAAAATTCTTTAATGTAAATGTATTTATTTCTTACAGGACAAATGACACTTTCTAATTGACAGCATACTGTAAATTGTACTTTATGTAATATCTTTACCATGTTTTATTAACATGCACTCTTTCTAGGACTTTTAAATTGCAGGACTGAGATGATGTGTGTTTTATCAATAATCAGTTGAATAGCCTTTCTTAATAAAGTCCTGATGTAAAGTACACTGCATATCTACTTCCTGTAATCTGTATTGTACTAAAATAATAAAACTATATTGTACTAAATTAAAAAATGCCATACTTTTTGAAGTGTGTTATTTGCAGTACTGTGCAGTATATCAGGGGTCTCAAACTACATTCCTAGAGAGATTGTGTTGTTCTGGTATTTGTTAAGCATAACAAAAATGAACTTTTTGTTAGATTCATTTTTTGATTTTTTAACTAAATAATTAGCCTAATTCTTTTCTTTGTTAATTGCATGTAGGAGTTTTCTAAAGGCCTTTTACAGTTGAGTACAAGTGAAAACATTCACTTCATTAAAAGTACTTTTACGTATGCTACCCCTTAGGGCCTGGTTAGAAGTATTTCAATTATTCATTAACTGTTCATGATATAATTTGAGTAGCCATGTAACTGAGAGCTTGGTCTAAACTAGAAAGCAGTTGTAACTAATTCCTGTAATTTCAGAGACTCCTGTTGGATATGGTTTTGGGATGACCGCACTGACCTCCATTAGGTTTAAGTGAGCACAAAGACAATTCTGCAACAGGCAGCCCATGATATGATTGACCACAGACACATGTGGGAGGATCATTAGGGGAACCTCATCATAAATATTGCTTTGAATGGCCAGCCTTATAGTAGGCAGGTTTTATGACAAAATGTGGTGTTTGTTTACATTTTACATACAGTGAATATTGGTTATACTCAAAATGTGGATGGTAATTATTATATCATTATTAACAGAAAATAACAGATAAATACTGAGTAATATTTTAAATGTTCACTTTTTTCAGTTAGTTATTTGGAAGCATGTATTTGTACTTTTTTAATGATTTGTATAGGTAACACCAGGTTGTAGTTATTTGAAAATAACTAGCCCTCTTCAGCTTTTAAGTTTTTATATATACAGTATATAACCAAAGAATTCCTTTTTCCAGTGAAGATGTGAAAATCTCTCATCTTTGAAACAGGTGCTCATACTGATTAGGGTAGGCTCAACCAATGAGGAACAAAACCACAATAAAAATCAGCTGAATCTTGGGTCGAGTGATACGAAAAAGATGCGTTTTCATGTTAAAACAACACCAGATGTTTCCAACAATTAAAAGCATCTGAGAGCATCTAAGAGACGAATTCTTTATTGCACTGCTTGTTTGAACACCTTAGTTGTTGTTCTGAAAGCAACAGAAATTAAACAAGATGCAGTGCTGCTGTTCTTAGCATGATGATTTTGAGAGTGATGAAAATTGCAGTGAGCTACTCAATCCAGGTAAACATTTAAAAAATCTTTATATACTAAAGCATGGGTGTTTTTTTTAATTTAATTAAATTATTTTGGTTGTTCTAAAACGTATAGCTTTTATCTGCAAGCACCTTCATATTCATATTGTTTCTAGTTGCATTTCTTAAATATATGGTTATGATGCCTAAAATATCAAAAACATACCTCACCAAAATAAACCGTTTTGTGTTCAGCACTCTATAGAATTTCCCTCTGCAGTATCCATTTATAACCATGTGGTGGCACAATAACATTGCAAAGAACCTGAACTGGAGACCACTTTTCCTGGATGAGGTATCGGCTATGAGTTTTCAATTTTGCTTCGTTTGTTTTAATGATTTATTAGGGTAATGTATTATCATTAGATAAAACATTTAAAATGTTTAAAACTATCTGAACAAAACCACGTGCTCTTTGATCACCAAAATTGCCTTTTACGAATAATACGTTAATATCGGTGTTTTTGATTGCAGCTTACTCTCTTTTGTGCGTGGTCACGAATTTAGTCGTTGTCAATTATGCTGTGTTTCCGTTTAGATGCTGCTGAGCTTTCAATTTACAATTCAGCAGATTGTCATGTAGTAATTTATGTGACGGCTCTCTGCTTTCGAATTGGAACCTTTAAGTAGCTGTTATTTGACTTAACTAGGAAATAACTTAAAGCAACATTTAAGTATTTTTAATGTGCATATCTAATTATTGCATTGATTAAATCGACAAGATGGAAAAATTGGTTAGTTTTAGTTCTAAATATACAGTTGGCAAGTTTAAGCTCACTAAAAAGCTATTCGTGGGGAAATGTAAGAATGTTATGTCTAGATGTGTATATTACACTATGCATTTGCCAAAATAATGTGATCTCTGGGGGCATGGGGATTGGAGGTCATTGCTTTTGCAATATTTGAAACAATGTCAGATGACACCATGGGTGACATGAGTCAAGGTCTTGCAGACAAATCTTTCTTTACGTTGTTGAATAGTCCACAAATACGATCATCGCCCTTATTAATTTATCTCAATTAAACAGACTTGTCTACAAGAAAGCTCTCTTAACAGTTACAAAAGAAATGGTACAGTATACTGCTGCAAACTGGTTGTGATATGATTATTGTTGATATAGTGGGAGTCCTTTTGGTGCCATAATTTATTCAAAGTTCAGTTGTTTGCAAAGGAAAATATAGAAATATGTATGTTTATTGGATGTTTTACAGGTGTTATGGAAAATATTTAGAAACCAAATTTCAGAATAAATGCATCAATACAATATTTTGCTTTGTTTTTCTCTTGACATCAGTGATATTTTAAGGATTGACAGTGGAGCCTAATCACAATCAAATTGTGTTTACTGAAATTATTCAATAATCCAATATTACATGCTCAAGAATAGTACTATTAATACTGCAATAAACTTGGTTATTGCTATTCCCATTACATATAATAAAAATTAAGCCGAACGCCCTATTTCTCTGGGTTTTTCAACCATGGCTCTTGAGTATACTTGTGCTTTCTGGTTTCTGTTCCAGGTGAGATCTCAGCTGCATACCCGAAACTTTTAACTTGCCTAATTGTACTAAAAAAGTTTTGTTTTTTTTAGCTTTTTGGAAATTTTAAGATAATGTACCAGTATAGAGTGCAACTTAAAATGCACTTTTTTAGGATGTGAAAGCAGTAAAATAAACAATGTATTTTTCTTAGTTTTGGTTGCAATTAAGTACTTGTAGTCTCAATTTTTATTAGATGGGCTACTCTACAATTAAAAGGCTATTCAGAAAACCATACCGAACCTTGGAAAGGATTAGTAACAGAATTACCACACAGCTTTGTTAGAAGCAAGCATTTTAGAAAGGGATATACTTCATTTTCCAAGAAAGATTGGTTGAGGGTGTTACCGAGGAAAAGATCCATCGGAAACTAAAATAAAATATAGGATCATGAAAGCACTTTTTTTGCCTCTTTCTGGCTTTCTTGCTAATGAAAACATCAACAGATGTAATTTTCAATACCTGTTTTAAAAAAATGGAGATAAGAACTTGGTGCTAAAGCTCAGTTAAATCTCAACGATTGCATGAAGGAATTTTAATTAAACACCCTGAGTGTAAGAGGATAAAAGCTTTTAAAGGGGAGAGATTGAAATATATAGTAATGAATTATAATTGAAAATGGATTCATAAAGGGAATGCTAGTAAAAGAGCCACATCTCTGGAAATAAAGGTTAATGGAGGTGGAGGCCCATTTCTTCACTTGCACTTTTAATATCTTCATACTCTGTATCTCCAAATGCAATTAATTACTATCCTTTCATTAAGTGTTCCTGAAAGCATGTTGGGTTTCTGTCTCCTAGAACATAGTATCTCATATTCATTTCTATAGTTCTTAAAGGTCATGACTGCGGAGACGATTTCTCACGAAGACCACAGTTTGCTGGGGTCATTGCAGTTATACTTACAGAAAACACAGCAGAGCCAGAAAGCATCACAACTATTAAAAAATACCAGTCATGGAAAATATGCTTTTCTTGCAGAAGTGAGCTGTAACTTTGTTTTCCATTAGGCGTTTCATTATTTTGGCGCAAAGAAGTTCCATCTGGAAGCATAACATTAAAAAATGTCAACTGTAACTATTACCTGTCAATTATATAAGATTTAGGGTTAAGCATTTGATACTCTGCTTTCAGTATTGCTATTAAAGCTTATTCACATATCATGCAAGTAGACCATTAGTATCGTGCACTGTGCTAGAATTCATTGTGAGTCAGAGGCAGTATTCATGTACAGTATCTTTGTGCTTTAATGGCCGTGTCAAAAATCAAAGTATACTGTACGCAGTTCAATTACTTCCTGTCCTGCATTGTATCAGAATATTAATATGTGCCCTGTAAAGAGCATAACTTTTATTTCTTAGAATCTTTGTCTCTATTGCTTAGGTACATGGCAGGGCAGATTTTTTTTCTTGATCTGCTGGACTATGAGAGAAAACCTTTTCTTTTTTAATGTCTGAGCCTCAGATTTCTGATTTACTCACTTCACTTTTTGCCTCCTGAAGCTATTTTATACCTGCTTTGAACATACTTGAATATGCTTGGGCTGCAATAGGTTTAGGTTAATAGCCAACACTTTGCTTTATTTCTAGCAAACCTGAAAGTATCTATACTTCATTTTATGCAAGTTTAACACAAATGGAATGTTATTAAAACCTAGTAAGTTAATGCTATGGAATGTTAAATGCTGATTTACACTTACTAAATTATACATCATTGTAAAATAATAATATAATTGACTTGAATAAATATATTATATAGGGACCTCACATTAAACTCAGTTACCCACAATGATACCCCAGCTGTTTGTGAGAGAAGTCAGCACATATGCTTCAATAACATGATTGGATAGCTTTATTTCCAGCAATGCTTTGTCAAGATATGCCTCATGTTTCTCAGTCTTACAGTACTGTATGTGCAGCTCTCCTTAGTTGTCCAATTAGTATTTATCACAAGCTAAGCTGAAATACAATCAAACCATTTCAGTAATATTATCCTTTGAAGTTTAATATCCATCTGATCTCGCATGTATTTTTCATGTCTTAAGAATTTGATCTCGCACACACGCAAGCTGTTCACAGAAAAAAAAAATTACATCGGGTTTTAATAAAACCCACTGAGCTATTTAAAGGCATCAAAAAGACTGGTTGGGAGGTCATGTTTTCCTTAAGCTCCTCAGGTTTAGATCTACCATATAGTAATTTGTCTTTTTGAGATAATAGCAAAATAAATAAATTTGAGTATGAATGTTAATACAGCATCAATGCTTAAGGGTGCAGCATACTGTATTGTGTACTGTGTGTGTATATATATATAGAGAGAGAGATCTCTGCTCTTATCTAAATAACACTGGTTACCTAAGAACTAAATTCAACACTGAATGGTCTAGATCCAGTTGCTAAGGCTTCATTAAACAGGTATAGTACAACATAAGTAGAGACGTGCTGATTCAGGCCAGGCTCCACACTAGGCAATGGGGCTTTAGCATTCCAAATAATCAAGAGTCATTGCATAAGCCTATTGGAGACTTTCAGACAGGTTAAATTCATTTAAACACTATATTTTTGCTTTAGCTTTTAATATTGGTTATTGTACAACTAAGTAAGTCTAGAGTGCCTTTTCCCCCTTATATTTGTTCATGTACTAAATGTGCACTACTCTAAAGTGCTGTGAGTTTTTTTTTTTTAAAGCATTTATAAGGTCTCCAGGAATCAAGTTGGAAGTTGCTGTGCAATGTGCACTGGGAGATTTTACAATTGGTTATCTTTGTTGTGTAACAATTTTCCAGTGGTAAAGGAGAAAATTAAAACCACTTTTGAAAAGCCAAGTTTATCAAATGCATTAAGCGAATTTATCTAGAGCTGGTGAAGCTCAAAGGTGAAAGAGTGGAAACGGGAGGGGAGGTGAACAACATCTGCAAAGTAGCATAAAGTGATCGCCACAAAACTATTTTTGATAAGGGATTTACTACCCCTCCATCCGGTTGTAGGAATACTGACAAACTGTTTCATAGCAGTTTGATCTATTCAGCTCCAGGCTGTATACAAGCCTGAAGTAAAACCGTTTGTACAAATACATAGATGCAATGTGAAACTATTATGGAAGGCTGTTTCTCTGTCAAGATCCAATACTGTGATGAACTGGACAACTTTTACTACAATAAAAGTGGAATAATTTATTTATAAAATACATCATAAATTCTTTAATTAAAAAAAAAAACAGGCATATAGCCTTTCAAACTGTACAATAAGGATTCTCTTTTACAATATGGTACCTTTAGAGTTCAACACGCATATACTCAACAGGTTGCATTTTGTTCTTGTACCAGAGCAAGATTATAAAGCTGCAATTTCGACAATCATAGTGATTGACTCAAACAGTAACCACGTTTAAAACCTTATAATGGAAGGGTTATTGGTGTTCATATTTAATACACTTAAAAATCCACATTTGAGCAAAAATGACACCTTATTAGAACACTTGCATTTGAAAGCAAGTGAAAAACGGAGGTTTCCCCAACGAGAGGCCACTAGAAAGCTGTCCGTTTGCTGCAAAATTGGCAATTTTGGATACATTTAGACACTTGTTCTATGCATGTGTCAAGCACATCCAGCTCAAACCCATTCGATCTGCACAAAGCAGAACAAGAATCAATGCAAATTGCAATTTGGTTCAGTTACTGCATTAGGCTGGCACATCATTCCTTCCAGTCTAACTTCAGTCATCCACTTGTCAAACAGCATCTCCATTTCCTTCCTACTTCGCCAGCTCCCTACATTCACCGTTGGGAGGATTTTCTCTGGCTTTAACCACTGCACAAAGCGCTTCATTTCCAGGTAGCTGCTGTGTTCACTGTAGGGAATGCCTAAAATAAAAAAAAAGTTGCCAAGTAAGAAAGGCGACACCAAATCAACAGATAATAGCACTATTTTGTCACACTAATGCAAAGATATATGCAAACACTGGATTTTGATTAATTTGTCCTGCAGAAATTATGATTGATAGCAATGGCATTTGATCATATGATTCTGTTATACCACATTCCAAACTGATACGTAACTTATTGCAAGCCAATTCTGGATGCCCATAAATAAAGGTTTATGCAAGAGAAAACAGCATCAGTCATATACTAGATCCTTGAAAGTACAACCATTTGAGAGTAGCCCCTGTATATGGCCAGAAAAGCACAACCGATTTCCAAGATGTTCTACTTATCCACACAACAAAAGATATATACATGCATGTTATATCCACACTTTGGCTCTTTAACCAGCTGCAGAATCGCAGGAAAACAGAATTTGCTCTACTTTCACTCCTCATGAAGAACAAAAGCAAACCCTCATGTCAGATGTTTTGTTTAACCTACCGTAAATGCTTATGTTTCCTCTAACTACAGGCTGAATGCTTTCTACACATGTATTCTGACTTGAGAAGGTCCACCCAGTTGGCTTGAATGCCAGGATTTGATTGTACTTTCCAGAGAACTTGTTCAAGTGCGTCTGCAGACCCTGTGAATGACAAAAGGCACATTTGCGTTTACAACGATAATAGAGCAAAGGAATTAAGAAGGGGCTTTTACAACAACGTAAAGTCTAGCAGACGATGGAAACAACCCAAAGCACGCAAACGATCCCACTGTAGCTTGACAGTGTAAACCATGACTTTCTAATCAGGTCTCGGGACACGTCCATCACTTACAGGTGGAGTTCTTTAAAATTGTTTGAGGAGGCAGATGTTCTCTACTCCAAGATTAATGACATAATGCATGTCAAGTGTAATCTGACATTGCAGTAAACAGGTAAATACTTAAAACACCCTTTGTGTTATTTGTAGAAAAACAGTGTCACAAACCAAATATGGCATCTCTTTCAGCTCAATTTTCCCTTGAGTTTATAGAGAAGGTTGAAATAAGACGAAAAAGGTTGTGAATTGAAGTTCAGCCTCCCTTTAGCTTCTCTTCTGTGACAGAACTGCACACTCATTTTGTCTGGGAGGAAAATTTATCACAATCCACTCTAGAACATTTTCCCTGTATTAACACTTACAAAAAGAAAGCATTTCCCCAAAAATCCTTAAAAAAATGGGGAGAGAGCGAAGGATTGTGTGCTGTACCCACTTTAAAGTTGATTTGCATCATTGGCAGGACGTGCATTTGTGTGGCGTTCCAGTCCATTGTAAGGCGTTCTCTGATACTGTCTGACTCCAGGCAGCACATGGTATTGTACTTGTCCCGTGACACGCAAACCTTACAACCCAGCACTTCCGCAATAGCTGCAAGAAGTCCAAATGAGAAATAAGAGAGTAAGAACAAATGCGAAACATGTCTTCCTAGGAGAGATGAAGCGAAACCACTGTCAGTCTGATCAGGATTCTGAGTATTAAGATATTGCAAATAGGAGGTCACACTTCAGACAAGACTAATAATAACTGAAGAACATAGCATAATTCCAATGGTTTTCCGAGATGCTATATCTTTACTTTCAAAAAGTCTGACAATATTGCAAACCCAGGGCCCTGTGCTTTGAGGCTGCAATACCAACCCCTGTGCTATCCTAATTCTGTGATGGATGGATGAAACTACAATGTACTATTGAAGTCTTTCAAACCAATGTATAACATGTAGAACTTTAAAACTTTTACCAAAAAAAAAGTTAAAGAGGCTAATGAAAAGATTCCGTGATCAATTTCAGACATCTCTAAAACAAAACCTACTCTAAGCCAGCTTTTTTCACATCCCATTATAAGTGACCTCCAGAGGCAAAAGAATAGAATACATTGGAACAAAAAACATGAAACCAACAGACAGATTCTTACTACCTTTCCTTTTTACCAAGATCTGGGCAATAGAATAGAGAACACTCTTGAGACCTTTCTACAAAGGCTTAACAGTTGCAAGGTCTGATGAATATTAGACATTTAGACCAGTATAGATGTGCGAGGTAGCTGGAAAAAGGGTTGGGACTCAAATGTTTTTCCTGATGTGCATATTATAGCACAGGCACTGGTATGGATGTCAGTGACCTGACCTCAGTCAGAAAATTCCACATGAAAAGCATCCTTCATGAATGTACTGCTTCATTACCTTAATTCTAGTTTCATTTATTTTATTGAAACGCCTTATTATAAATGTAAAAAAGTGCGCCCAATACACAAGGCAAAATATTTTAGCAATATTTTGAATTAAAAAAAAACAGTGAAATCTGGTAATGCAACTTGAATTCACTTCTAGAAATGATTTAAGGATAACTCTAGTCTCTACTTATCTAAAGTATTTGTAAAAAAGTAATTAACCCATTTAAGCCATCATGAAACAATGGTTTGCTTTCCTTTTGCTGCCTCTACATCTCACATCTGTGCCAAACAATGCTTCTTCTGCTCACCCAAAAAAACCTTTTCTTTTCCAATGGAGTAGGTACCACAGACAATTAATGTCTGGGGGTTCAAAGTCATGTGTTCAAAGGCAGTGTTGGCTGCAAAACTGATAACTTCTTGCTGTGTGGGAAATGTATATTCAGGACTGCAGTATCTGTGAAAGAGGACAAAAGAGTACATAATTATACAAGAGTACCAAAACAGATTTGAAATTGACTGAATTTGAGAAGGCAAGAAACAAACTGGCACATTTAAAGTTGATTCTCTTTTTGTTTTACACTTAAGAATTTAATATGCAAAACTGCTTTTGTTTTTCTTGCCCGCTCTTAAAAAGCACAGCTCAAGCTACTGTACATGTTAGGCCCAACAACAGTTGTATCACTTCTACTCACGTGGTGTCGAGGTAGAGTGTTTGGACCTTTGACCCGAGCAGTTCAGGGTATCGTTCCATAGATGGGTCGGCTCGGAAATCCCCAGTATGCAACACTGTCCTGCCATTAGGGAGCTGGAAAAGCAGCATTGCAGCTCCTGGGCAGCTGAAAAAACATTTCAAACGATTAATATATTCAGTGTGCCTTAGCAATGAATGTATTGTCTGCGGCTAATGTCTATGGTCTGTTAGAGCTACAGCAATACTCCTGTGTGTTCCTCATAATAGCTTAGGAAGCCTAGCTATACATGGCAAGTGTTTATGCAGAGAAAAGCTGATAGCACCAGAGGAGTAATCTGCTAAAAGGACAAAAAAAAAAAAAAGTTAAGTGATACTTACTGGTTGGCATCAAGTAATGTAACACTGACACCCTCCACAGTGCATTCAGCATTCATAGGGAGGATGTTAACATACTGCTCTTCCACTCGAAGCTTGCTCTTCACCAAATTGCCTGTAATCTGAACAGAAGCTAGCCTTTAGCACTAATGGATACCAGCACATTAGGTGAAGATGGGGGATTTGACAACTTACAGTTCAAATACTCTCTCAGAAAACACAAAATGCCAGGTTTTGGGGGAAAAAAAAAGCGATAGCACTTTTTTTTTTAACCAAAAGCATACACTGCAAGGCACTAAATAACTGTTAAGATTCCTGTAATGGCAAAATTGCACAGCCAGTTCACTTAAATGATGCAACTGAACAACAGCTCTGCAAGAATGAGATGTACAGTACTCCAACACGGAGTACCTACTAACTACCAAACGGGCTAGATGGTCAATTTGCCTCCTCTCTTTTGTAACCTTTCTTATTCTTAAAATGCAATGATCTCAAGAGGGCTCAACTGCACCTGACCGTCTAACCAGAAAAAAAAAGTTCTAGACTTCAAGGGTGTGAAGGATAATGGAATACAAAGACATCATATTAGCTGATAAATGTTTGCATTTATATTGCTCGATAGGTTTAGCAGTGTTGACATGCAGCCCAAACTCTTGGAGAGCTTTAACAGTTTTTCTTAAATCATGAAATGTCTTACTTTATTGCAAAAGATGGGCAATCTAAAACTCTTCTTTAGTCCCGAATAATGGTCCGAGTGGAAATGAGTGAGGAAGTATCCAGTGATGCCCTCAATAGGTCCATACTGAAAGGCATCCACAGCAAACCCTGTCCCTAATTGAAATGAAGCAAACACACCATTTAGTTCTACTTTGCATATTTGGGATATACAACAGCTTCCAATCATGTACCAAACTTGATGTACTAAGAACATTTTACAGCCAACATTCTTGATGAAAATGCAAATTCTATTGTACAATACAGGACAACATAGTACAGCATTTTTCATACTGAAGGTATTAGCCTTAGGACTGCATTTTCATTAAACTATACAACCCGTGCTTGAGAAGCAAAATAGTTTTAAAAAGAACTGTCACGAAGGCAGTCTCTCTGCTGGAATTCCAACTTGGAAATGTAATGAAACAGGATAATGGGTAATGTAAACTGATCCATCAGACAACTTCACCACACTTCTGGAAGACAGATCTTCTGAGAAGCACTCGGCATCAGTCTAAAAGGACATGAATGAATGAATGAGGCAGCCCACATAGATCCCAAAAGGGAACCAGTCAGAAGTTAACTGTTTGATAAGCTCAATGTTCTGGAAACGGTTTTGAATTCATCCCCCCCAGCAAAACAGATCCATGCTAGGATATTCCATCAAATGTGTGGGTGTTTTCAAAGAATTGTAGCTTCTTTATCACTGTTCTACAAAACATTTTTCTAGAAATAACATGAAGCTGTCCCCCCCCCCCACCTTCAAAAATATGTACATTTGAGAAACAAGATACATCAATGACATTTCACTTATAAAAATAAGACCTAATGATACTCAATTATCAATCTAGCTATACCTGAAGCTCCCTCTAGGCATTACACTTATTCAGTATAACAAAACATGGTCTGCTATATTATAATTGAAAGCACACGTTAGCAACGAATTTAGTTTTGTAGTACAAACCACTTTACTTCTCTCTTGCATATATCTCACTAATTTTATTAAATTGTGTGATTAAGATTTTTTAATGATGCAACATTTTATATACATGTGTCAGTCAAACAATCCTTAATAGTCCTTCCAGTGGCAAAAAAAAAACCTAATGAAAAACACATGATTCATATTCAGGAGACATGAAGTCAGATCCAGTTTGTTCTGCATAAAACTACCACAACTGTACATGATTACTACTATCCAAAAAAATGTGACCCACATCCAGAAACTAATGAAGAATGATTGCCTTCTACAATGAAAGAAGCAGGGCTTCAACTACTGATAGCATATTCATATGCTTATTAAGATCCGGCAAAAGTTCAGACATCTGAAAAGAAAATCTGCAGGTCCCTGTCGAGTTCAGCAGAACATTATAAAATCAGCCAAGCAAATTGTATTTGAAAGTCAAATATCTTTTATATTGTGTGCATAAACACACAATGCTGGACCAAACCAGTCTTGTTTATATAAAATGCCTTCTAGTACATATGTGCTTAAGTACTCTTAAGTGTTAAATACGATTTAACAGCCCCCTCCCGCCAAGAGAAAAAGGCATGAGTCCTCAGTGGTAGCATGTTAAGACTATGACTACTCCATGTGTTACCTAGTTGTATTGTACACACACCAGTTTTTTTTAGAAAAATACTATCCTAGAGAAAACATCACAATCAGTTGCCTAAAACACTTCAATAATTTCACAAAGTGAAGGAACAAAAACATCTACTTCACTGTGTACTGACCTGGAATCTTTTTGTAGAATGGGCATTGTTTGGTATTCTCAGACTCATCCTCTCCTTGTCTTCTGTTCCACCTTTTTCTTCTTGGCCATCCTACATTTTCTACAGGCGTCTGCGATTCTTTTTTAGCATTGCGGCCATCTGCCACAACCAACATATTAGGATCACTGAGGGAACTTGTAGCTTTTCTCTTCTTTTGCCTTCTGCTGCCAGCACGGACACTTGGGCTCACCACGCCCGTCCGGATGTCCTCCTTCCTTGGCGTATCATTCCCTTTCACTTCTTGCTCCTTCAAGGCCTTCAGTCCAAAGAAGACCCCTATGTCTGTCTGCCTGAGTCCTGCAGTGCCTGACTTAGCTTTGATTTTCTTGGAGGCCATGCTGGGAAGGTGGAGGGGGGTGCGTTGTTCAGGAGGATCAGATGAACGCCTTTCTTGTTGTACTTCAAAGAAGCCTGTGTCTGAACTACAAGAAATAATCTTTTGATTTTCGAGGTTGCCTAACTGGTCCCTTAAACGCTGCAACACTAAACTCTGAGGTGACTGCAGTGAAGGCTCATTCTTGGCATGTGAAGCCTCAATTGTTGCACTTCTTCTCTCAGTAACACAACAGCTATCACTCCTGCCAGGGCCTGAACTTGGTTGGCTCAGGCTTTTGACAGCAGGTGACCTCATTTGAGATAAATTAACACCTGTGGATGTGTTACTTGCACCTGCCTGGAGATCAGGCTGTGTTAACGAGACAGCCAGAGGGGAGTTAGTCACTGAAAAGGGCTTCAATGCTTTCTGAGACTCTTCTATAGCAGGCAGGTCAAAATAATCAGTGAAAAGCTCATCACTGCTTAAGTCTTGCTCCCACAGATTTGGACATTGGGAAGTGGTAGTTTTAGGTTCTGGTCCCGTTTCTGAGTTATAAAGACCAGTACAGTCACTCTTTTTATGTCCAGGTGAACTGGCAGGAAGAGATTTGTATCTTGGGTTAACTGTGTCATCTTCAATGTCGCTACAGAGAGGTGAATACGAGATGTCTTCTTTACTGGAATTAGAGCCTAAAGTCAGATGCCTTTTCACATTTTCCCCCTGTGCTTCATTTTCACTTGTTTTTATAGGTTTGCACGTTTTACCTTCTTGCAAAATGGCCGATTCCCAACAGCCCTTAACATCAACACTCTTTGGGGACTTTTTTTCTTTTGTTGCCCTCGGAGACCACCCCTTCCTTTTCCTGACATCTTCAGGAGCAGGAGCTTTCAAGAGCAGGAGCGCATTTGACTTTCCACTTGAGACCAGCTGGTTACCTCCCGGGGGGCTGGGGTTGACATTTTGGTTTGAAAAGCCTGAGCTCTCTTGCGAACTATCCAAAATGAAGTTGTCATAATCACTCGTTGCTCTGCTTTGGGCCAGCAGGAAGTGGGTGTACCGCTTGTAATGGCCTGGAATAGTGGAAGTGCACTGAAGGCCATCTGGGCATTCTGTTTCCAAAAAAACAAATCAGATCAGTCAAGCATAGCAGGGTTTTAATACTTTTTTAATGAGCAGCATACTTTTCCAATTTTGTTTTTTGTGTGAAGTTGGTCTTGAATTATTTGGTTCTTAATTTAAAATATTTCAAATGCCAAACTCTAGCACTGGAATTTTGTTAGTCATCCATTAATAATAATTTGAGATTTCTGAAACTTATGTTTTGGATGAACTTAATTCTTAAATATCTCCTTTTTTAATATCTTAATGCCGTCTTATTTTATTGTGTATTCTATACAACATACTGTTTTTATTGTATATTGTATGTAAAGTGCCACGTGAATACTCTGTTTTGGATACAATGAATCGATCTGTAAACACCATCGCTATTAAAAAATTAGTATGATTAACCCAATCATCTGGAAAAAAAGTTTTGTTAAGTTTTCATGTTATGTTTAAACAGTAATTAGTACACGAAGCTCATGTTTGAAATTGTAAAACAGTCTCTTTATTGTTCTGGTAATTAATCACCCTGTATCAAATTCTGGATAATATGCAAAATAAAACAACACAAATGAAAAGTTAGGATGTATTGGTGAGGTTGATATTAAGAGCAGAGAACAACACAGAGCATCATGGTAATGTATTCCACTTTGTGTTGGGCGCATAGGTTTCCATGACAACTGAAAGCAATTTGTTGTATTTGATAGAGATAAATGCTGCTGCCACCCAAAAAAAACATCAGTAAGCAGCAGTGGAGAGAACTGATCACAATATCTTTTTCATACTGTTCTGAAAATACAAGCATGAGAGAGTACAATGAACACAGAAATGTTTAAAAATAGCATGCTTTGGAGAACCCATTCTAACCATCCATTTTCTATCCACTTTATCCAGTACAGGTTCAGAGGGGAGATGGAGCCTATCCTAGCAAGCGACAGGCACAAGGCAGGATACTCCCTGGACAGGGCCCCGGTCTATCACAGGGCAGACACACAGTCACAAAATCCCAAACACTCACCCCCAGCCCAATATTCCCAGAAGCTAATGAACCTACCGGTGTGTCTTTGAACTGTGGGAGGAAACCCACCAAAATAAGAGGTGAACAAACTCCAGATAAACAGTACCCCAAGAATTGAACCCAAGGCTCTAGCACCATGACGCTGAAAGACAGCAATGCTAACCACTGTGCCACCCTTGCCACCCAGAACCTCGTCTTTAACTTTAAGAAGCTATCTTGGCTTCTCAGCTGCAACAAAACATTAAATTCCACCCGCTTTTACAAATTTAACACCCGCAGGCTACAAATCTCTCCACAGTCTTTTCATTCATTGCTCACTGCATTCGAGACTACATTTAAAATAGAAGAATACACAAATTATACATACAGTGCCTATGGAAAGTCTACCAACCTTTCCAAAATAACATATCTTGCCTAACAGCAGGAAAGACAAAATAAACTAGAATTTGCTTAATTTATACATTGCAACACAACCTCCAAGTGAAAAACAAATGCTTACACATTCTGATAACTAATTACACACAAAAACCTAGGAAAATGGGCTGAATTGGGTGTACACACCCCTTAATAATAGTCATTGTAAATTAGCTTATGTGTAACAAATTACCTTGCAAGTCACACAGCAAGCTAATAAACCTCCACCTGTGTTCAACTAGAGCGATTCTAAGGACTTCAGAATAACTACAAAGAAGCTATCGGGAACTCTGAAAGAGCTGTAGGCTTTTATGTGTCATTCCCCATTCTAAAAAGCATCCCCCAGATCTGGCTTGCATGGCAAGAGGGCAAAAAGGAAAAAAAAAACAGCAACAAAGCATTTAAGTGATGCTGTAAACATGGCAAAATGTTTTCTGACCTGATCACAATTAAAATGGTCTAAACGCAAAGAGTGATATTTGGTACAAACTCGATGCAGCACCTCACTCAAAGAACACCACCCCTACTGTGAAGAATGGTCATGGCAGCATCACGTTTTGGTGATGTTTCTCATCAGTAGGGACTGGGGCACTTCTCAGGATAGAAGGGAAAATGAATGGAGCAAAATACAGACAAGTTCTAGATGATAAACCTACTGTCCTCTGCATGAACACTGAAATTGGGACAGAAGTTTACCTTTCAGCATGACAATGAGCAAAAGCAACAGTGGAAATCAGATTTAATTGTCCCCTGAGGGCAATTTTTTATGGACACACAGCACTCCTGTATATTTAAATAGAATGCAAACTAAAAAAGAAGTAGAAAAGAAAAAACACTGCACATTATTCCATTACAAAAAATAAAAAAAACATTGCACATCACTCTATTGCACATGTAGAACACGTAACAACAATTTATAATTTATAACGCATCACAAAACAGATTTCACTCAAGTGCATTGTTGAGTGCTAAAGAACGAAAAGGTAAATGTCGTCAAGTGGCCCACTCGATCCCTGACCTCAATCCAATTGAAGACCTGTGGAATCACTTGAACGTTACAGTACATCAATGGTCCTCTTGCCATTTGACTGAGTTTGAACGGTTCTGTAAGGAGGAATAGGCAAATATTGCCAAATCTCAGTGTACTATGTTGGTACAGACCTATCCAAACAATTATGGCTGTAATTCAAGCACAATGTGCTTCCACCAAGAACTAACTCAGGTGTGTGTACACTTATCCAACCCATTTTTTAGGGTTTATTTGTAGTTACATTTCAGAATGTTTGTGTCACTTGGAGGTTGAGTGTTACAGCGTGTAGATAAAGGTGAATCAATTTCTAATTGAATGTGTCTGTATTTCAGGCTGTCAGGCCACAGAATGTGTTACATTGGAAAGAGGGTGTAGATTTTTCTACAGGCACTGTATTTTTGCACTGGAATTCTCACAGAAAGGGTACTGTTTGAGTTGGTTTGAATAAAAAATGTCATCCACTAGGGTGACAGAATCATATATTGTACTGTAATTTAACTTAAAAATATATTTTAGCTGTCTCAACCAGTTGAATTCCAGAACAGACTGAAATCACATCAAAGACAGGTTTTCAACTTATTCATGAATACTATATGATATAGTTTTCTGTATTGTGGTTTTACTATACAGATGAATGTGCCATTTAAGCACAACAAGGTTTCTAAAGTCAGATGATTTAGAACTCAGTTATGAGCCTGAGCTTCTCTAATAATGCTAAATAAATTAGTACTCTTCCATTCGTGGAAATACAGAAAGGGTATGTAAAGCAAACAATATAAGCTAGAAATCTAAAAATTAATACATTTGTTTCCAATGACTGCGTCATGGATTGCATCATGGTCTAAGTCTTAAATCTAGCTGTGGGTTCCATCAAACACTACTGTACAAGATTCTATTTTAAAGGTGGTGCAGTTTTTAACATAGCTGCCTTGGTGCACTAGGACCCTAGGCTGAATTACAGAACCAGAGTGCTCCGTGTGGAGCCCGCATGTTCCCCCTGTGACCCTGTATTGGATAAAGCAGATAGAAAAGGAATGGATGGATTATATTTTACAATGGACGTTTTCATTATTGCAGTGGGTCGGACTGTCAACTACAGCCAGCATACCTTTGAGTTCTTCGTTTTCAGGCTTGTCTAAACATTCTGCAACGTGCCATTGCGGAGACTGCACCAGCAGTATTGAGAAAGGCATCTGGCAGCTGGGGCAATACCCCTCCTTAAGACTTTTTGAGGGAGTCTGCTTGTCTTCATCACGTTTTATTTCCAAAGATCCAAGGGCTGCCTGCGTCTGGTCTTCCGATGTACAGCTCTGAAGCACTGAATCATTTTTGGCCCCTTTTGTAAGAGAACTTCGGTTGTATTTGCTCTTGCCTTCTCGGCTATCTGGCAATTTCTTCCTTGCCTTGTCATTATTTTGTTTTCGTTCGAGCGTGTCAGGTGCCGTACTACACTTACTAACATTACACTTAACCCTTACCTTACTGTGCTTATTTCCTCCTCTTTTGGTATTAGCATTACATTTATATTCCCATATGTCGTCCTCGGAGCTATTCTGTGACATTATAGGATCGCTGTATTTTCTCCGCAGATATTAACTAGCTAAGTTACTGTCACTTAAAGAATTTAATCATAATTAATATCCATGTCATAAATCATTGACTGAGTTTAAATGGATCATCAATACCAAATCCTGAGTTTTGATCAAATCCTGATCCAAATTAGGTTTCAATTTAGAATAAATCATAAAGTAGTTTTCATATTACGATAAAGCAATGCCCCGATGTTCATTATTTAACCATCAAATTTCCCCCGTTACAATATACCACAGCACATCAGGCGTTACTACAGTAATATTCTTTCATATGCTGTCTAATTACATACTTATCAATGAATCAAGTGGCTAACATTAATCACGTTCACTAGCTATTATACTAAGGGAAAACCGGCATCAGATGGAACATGGAAATAAAAAAATAACAACCCCCCAGTCGAATAACGAAAATGTTATTATTGGACCGGATCTCGCTATTTTTATTTTTTAGTCTGCAAATATTTAACTTTAAGAAATGGTTGCAATCGTTTTGATTTCATAACACTCTTCTCTCTACTGTACTTACCGCCACTGAGGCATGAACACAGGAAAGCTATCCTTCTGAATTTACTTCAGCATTTTCGACACTGCAAGAAATTACAATAAATTTCTGATGTGATCTACTACAATAATTAACTATAATACAATACAAGAATAAATTATAAACAGTGAAATTACTCAATCTATTTTACTAACTATAAATTTAGATTAGAAATAAGCGAAACTGCAGACATAAAAATACAGATGACTGGGCAGGTTATGTAAACCAGGTAAATCAATTAGTAATGGATTCTATAAACGAAATAACAAAGAAATCCGTAAAATCATGTATTAATTAATATTGATATTTTATATGGAATATTTAATAATTGTCATTTGCTGTTTTTGTGTTGAATGTGCAGCTCATGTACAACACTCCCTGCTTTACTTAACACTGACTTGTGAAGATGGCGACAGCCTGCAGCCTTACTGCTTTAATACCAGCTCAAACACAGTTGGACTACGCCCTGGTGGACGCTGTCTCTGTGCAGGAGAAGGAGAACCTGGTCTTTCAATATTTGAAGAAAATAGACTGCAGGCAGCAGGACTTAAAGGTCCCTGAATTCGAAGGAGGTGAGTTATTTTGTGAAAACAGTGGAATTTCAGGAGTCGGAAATGCCTTGGCGCTTGACGAGCAGCACCTGTTGATGAGTGATTGGGAGAGTTAGAATCTTAAAACTGATCATCATTTATACGTGTCGCTTGCAGAATGATTGGTTCCCATTCGCTGATTTCAATGGTGCTTGAAATGTGTAGTACTCGTATTAAGAAAGTAAGAGTTAAGGGCTGAATGCCTAAGACAGAATGCTTCACATTTGTCATGCGATGCCGGTGTGCTGTTGGAGTAAATAATAAGTTAGGCTGCTGGTTTCAGAGCGGCTCTAGACTATGCGTGATGGACCATACTTGCCACATATCAGGTGGGGAAGGATGCTGTTGTACCATAGAGCATAGAGGTGCTGTGTTTGGTTGTAAAAAATGGGTTCTTTCCAGATCGTCACTGTAAATTTAAAATTTGTTCCATGTTAAATATTCTGAGTTGACGAAGGAAAACATTTAGTAACAGTAACTTTAAGGGGCCGACACAATAATATACCATGTTGATGATTCTTAGGAATTATAGTTTTTTGGATATATTTGTGGAGCAGCACTTTTCTTGTTTTAAATACGATGTGTTGTCATGGTGACTAGCTTCCCTTTTTTGTTAAATTATGTTGAACACCGTGTGCAAATCTGTTCATGTTTAAATGCATTATGGGTCAAAATAATGTCCAAGCCTTTGAAACATACTGTGGGTCACAATCTGTTGTTTTATAACACTAAATAGAAGTTAATGACTGTCTATCCCGTCTATATGACTACATATTTAACATGAAATGATCATTCCCTTCCTGTTAAAATAATATTTTTATTAAAAAAGTAATATAAAATAATAAAACACCTTTTATTGAAAGTTTACTTTAAAACTAGATTCTCAAAGTGCTTTACAGTAAGACAAAATCAAATATATGAAATAAGAGTTAGTACAATAAAAAAGGGTTTAGAGTGCAGTACAAGTACAGTATACAAAGTGGCATACACAGACATCAATTAAGTAAAAGCCTTGTGAAGAAGAAAGTTTTAAGAGCACTCAGGGAAGGTGAGTCTGATATCTTTCAGGATAGATTTCCAAAGCTTTGGGGTGTACCAAGAGAAGCCTCTGTCATCCATATTATGGAGATTAACTCAGAGGACAAAGAGGAGACCGGGTTGTAAGGTGGTGTGTAGGAAGATAATAAATCAGACAGATATCGAGGTGCCTTATAGGTGAACATGAGAATAATGAAGTCGACTCGAAGCCTGATGGGAAGCCGGTGCAGGGACTCCAGGACAGAAGTAATGTGATCACTCCCATGCAAACTGGTCAGGATTTTGGCTGCTGAATTCTGGACATATGGAAGTTTGTTCATCATGGATTCAGATACCCTAGCAAGTAGGACATTGCAGTAATTAAGTCTACAGAAGATGAATGTGTTTTCAGCTACAGAAAAGACAACATAGGGTGCAGTCTGGTGGTAATTTTAAGATGGAAGAATGATGTTTTTACAGTATTGTGTGCATGAGAGTCAAATGTCAAGCCTTGGTCAAATATCACCTCCACGTTCTTTAATTTAGATTGTGGATGGCACTGTGCTTGAATTTCAGAGGGGGTTACTGCATTACAAAGCTTATGGGAGGTCCTGAGAAGATTGCCTTCAGTCTTGTCTGTTAAAAAGAAGGAAATTTAAGTCATCGAGGTTTTTATGTCAGAGATGCAATGAGTGAGTGTAAAGGCAGCCACTTCAGTGTCAGGAACAAGTAATAGGTTTATTCCATGCTGAAAAAAAGAAGAAAGAGAACACAACGTTTTGGCCGTGGAGCATTCTTCAGGTGTGGAGGTGGAGTGTCATGTTAGTATAGACCAACATAGAAATAATAATTCAGAGTATGTGATCTTAATAGCTGACCAAGTGGGAACATGTAAATGGTGAATAGTAAGGGGCCCAGTATTGAGTCCTGATGACCACCAGATTTAATGACCCACGCTTCAAAACTGAAACTCCCAAGAGAGACAAAGTGATGGTGATCAGTAAGGTAAGAGTAGAACCACTTAAGAGCAATGTCAACAACTCCAGTCTGAACAAAGGAAAGTAAGATGGCATGGTTAACAATGTCAAGAGCAGCACTGAGGTCTGAGAGGATATGGTTAGATAGAGAATTGGAATTAGAAGCCATAAGAAGAAATGTATTCCACAATCCAGAGAAACCGCTTTGGATTATTTTGTAGCACTTTACTGCTACAAGAGCAAATAAAGGATTCAAAGCAGTTTCTTAGGTTGCTAAATATAAATGAATTAATGTAAAAAGTTAGATCAGCACAAGAGTTGACATGACCATGGCTTTCCACAGATGGATCCATCTTTTTTTCAACAGTTCGTTGTCCTCTGTGGTACTGAAGCTAATTATATCAGTGGATTCTGTAACCTCTATACCAACACTTGTAGCTCAGTGTACTGCACTAATAAAACTGAACCATACAGCCAAGAAAATAGGTTTTCTGGTATTGGGGGAAAAACTTGGATGAAGTCCAGTGTGCAGGAAAAGAGGTGTAATGCTATGACTGGATTATGATGCCTATGTCCCATTTTGAAATTTCAGGTTTGGAATGGCTGAACACCAAGAGTCCCCTGTCATTTGCGGAACACCTTTCAGGCAAACTGGTGGTGCTGGATTTCTTCACTTACTGCTGCATCAATTGCATGCATGTGCTTCCTGATCTCCATGAGCTGGAACAACTGCACTCTGATAAAGGTATTTACAGGCAATGAGCTAGGAATGATACTTCATGCAGTCACTCTTCCAATTGGCTTAATAATATCAATGTTTTTGGTATGGTTGTGGTCCCACAACTATGTGTTGGGAGCCACTTTGTAATATGAAGCATTGACATGCTTTTATCTGCAATGAGTGTATACATGTATAGTACTGACCACATTCTCGCAAAGAGATTCCTATTAATAATATTATTATTATATTCTTGCTTCTTAATGTCCCGGGGTTCGCAGCTAGCCTGGCTTTATCATGTGACCAGTCGCATTACTAAACAGAAATAGCTTCACTCGGTCCTTCTCCCCTTTCGAGATGTATGACAGCCTAGGCATTTTCAGGACAAGCCTTTTTCCTCAATGTTGAATAATCGTTTTAGCCTTTTCCCGTTCTCATTGATGAGCTTCTTCAGTTTCTCTGGAAACACTTCTCTCACCACGTGATCAGTCGATGCCTCATCATCCGTAAACTTGAGGCTGTAGAGAGAGCACTTCTTAAAATTATATTTATAGAAATATTTACTTTTGTTTAAATGTAAAATAACAGTTTGTGAAAGTGCTACATATGGCTATTGACATATTTACCCCCTGATTATTGAGTTAATGCCCTATTGGAAAACTAATTAAGTACTTTGTTATCAATTTGTGGGATTTTTCACGAATTTCAGGGTTTTAAAAACCTAACCTTTGCCTTTGACCCTTCCGTAAATGAAAAGGATGTTTTTTTTCCCCCCAATTAGAGACTAATTTTAGTTATTGTTGTATGCATCTTGTGGAATTATTAGACACGTACAATTTAGATGAGATTTTTACACCAGATTACCACCATTATGTAACTTTTGTTCTCTTTTAGTATTAGTATTATTAATATTTTTAAATTAGTCTCTTATCAGAATGCATTCCAAAATGGCAAATAAACTGGTGATATTAGTCATGCAAAAACTTGAGCCATTTGAAAGGTTCACAATGTTATGTGAACTTGTATGAATGAACTCTTTTGGAGAACAGTCCATTGCAGAACAGTTTAATATGGTAGCAGTAACATTTATGAGGGTACATTTATAATCAGTCTTATGGAACATGCTGATAATGTGGTTAATTGTCTGATTCAAACACTTATTTGTACAACTGGTTAACCCAGTGCTACAGTTTCCCGCACAATGTGAAACATTATATGCACATTGTCAATAATCTGCAAAAAGGTTTATTAGCTTTTGTCTGTGTCTGTGCAGTATGTTAAAGTTATCCCAGTCTGATTCCAGCCTTTTCAAGGTCGGTCAGGTACTGAGCAGAGGACCTGCTTTACATTGGTAATGTAATCATACTGGATCCTTTTCGTAATATGCTAGTTTTTACCTTCTGTGCACTCCAAGGCAATCAAATATAAAAAGGTATTTTTTAGAAGCTATGTTGTTCACTGTTGTGTTTAGAATTACAAAATGAATCCTGAGCAGAAATAGCCTGAAATCCTGCTGTAAACATTTAATAAATATTATCATTACTGATTGTACTTTTCTTCTATTTAAATAGCCTTTCTATATTTTTTAAAATATCACAAACACATTACCCTGTTAGACCCATTCAGTACTTTTCTGTCATTTGAATGGATTAATGTAAAAAACATGTGTTTATTTCTCTATAGCCTGGCTATAGTAAAAAAGCCTTAGACTGTATACTGTTCTAGCATTTACCACTTCCTCTAACTGAGGCTCTGTTGTTTTACATTGATGAAGCCAACAGTGTGGTCTAAGGAAACCACATTCTTTGTGCACAAATCAGTCTCTACAGGAGTATTCATGGGCAACATATTTGCTCATGTTTTGTCTGTTTTAATTAAGAGACAAAAACAATTACTGTAAACAGTTCAAGTGGGGAGCTGCATCAGTTCAAGTGGGGAGCTGCATCAGCATGAGCTGACTGCAAAGGAACAAGTAAAGGTTAATTTCACACTGAAAAGTAGAAAGAGCAAATGCTTTTTTAGATGAATTGGGTAAATTACTGTTGTTTACTGTTGGGGGAAAATAGCCTTTATTTGTTGCTCTATTGTAATCAATGAAAGTTTAAGCTTTAGCAACTAATGGGTCAGCTAAAGAAAGAATTTTGGAAACAGGCTACAGAACAAGTAGAATTAACCTTAACAGGAGAAGTACCATATCAAGCAGTGCTTCAGAATGACTACAAATTCCAAGACCACATTAGCAGTATAAATTTGCTTTAAACTCTTGATTACAAAACTACAGAAGTAAACTTAACTGTTGTATGTATTCTACTGCAGCTATGCAAAGTGATCAGCTCCCTTTAATTGGTCTTACAAAGTTGGATCCAAAAGAAAAAGGATTATTTCATACTTCAAATTACATTTATAGAATAGGAAGAGATGGCCCTGCCTTTTAATTTATCTTGATGCAGAGCCAAACTATTAAGTGCTTCAAAGAATGCACAGATTTATCTCAATCTCTGCTGAAGTGCAAGAGCTTAAAATAGACCAAACTGTTCTTTGACCTAAGTGACTCTGTTACTACTAGTGCAGTTGTCCTGTTGCTTATTATAACCTTGCATGCAAACACTGTTCTGTTCCAGCTGTCATTTAATATCATTACCTCTAAAGGGCTCATCTGAGAAAATGGAGCTGCGTCTCTGGCTCTGCAAGGCAGCCAGAATTCTGTCTGATGTATTTCTAAGGCTTATCTTTGGCAATTCTTTTGGTGCATTCCAAGTGACGTTCAGTCAGTTGCCTGTTTTAAATTCCATTTGATATGTATTGCTTATCAACATGGCCAAATGACTTCACACTAGTCAGTGGTTTTGTATCTGGTAAATGAGAGGGTATGGAAGGGTGCCAGAGCAAAGCTCTCCTTTTTGAATAGTTTACATGTGATTTGAAGATTGGTGTGCTTGAAGAAGAAATAAGTACAAGTTAATGAAAAGGAGCAAAATGTGATAAGATGAGTGGTTGTTCTCTTCATGCTTTAAATTATTCTTGGTGAGGAACAGGATCATATCAACTGTCAGTACTTTTTTTTGAGGTTCAGATTCTTCTCAGTAGGAAGGTCGACACATATTCTGTTTAATGTTTAAAACAACATTTGATGTGGTGTTCAAAATAAGATGTGTCACGAGATCATTGTTGGTTAGTTTCACCAACTTAAAAAGATGCTGTTGATGGCCAGGAGCCAGTAGAGTTTTTTTTTACATGTGCCTGTGGGACTGTGACTGGGTCACCTCCCTGTGAAGTAATCATTAAAATCTCGGTGCAAATTTAGGGATTTTAAATGCCACTAAATTCTGTTTAAAGGATTTTACAAAAAAATATGGAAAATGGATAAATTAACTGTGTCTTGACAGCCGAACTTCCATCTGGTAACCTGATAGCTTCAGATCAGAATTCAGACAGTAAGCAAAGCTTTGCCTGCTCAGTGCTGGGGATGACAGCTCTCAAAGGAAAACCTGGTTGTCGCTTTAAATAGTCAGTTAAACAGTAGGTGGCACTCTTCCCTCTGGACCAGGATTTCCAAACAATTCCCCAGTGTGAGAACATCATCTTGTAGGAGGTACTGTCCTCTCTGTTGTTAGGTTATAGCATCTTGGTGTCATGACTTAATTCCATGCTGGGCTTGCTCAATCTGTTATGTGTAATATTCCTTCTTTGCTTCAACAGTTTAATTGTTTCTCACTTCTCCACCTGATCTGTCGTGTAGTGTAACCGCTGGCTCAGAGTGACTTTGTGGGTCACTGCATATTAGTACTGGATGAAATGGATCCTTCTCATATGTAAAATGTTTTAGGATGGAAAAAAACTACATAAATGTGCTGGGCAATAGCATGAAATAGTGACCTGGACTCTGGACTACTGACAGGGTGCTGCTGTTGTACCTTTTGAGCAAGCTATTTGTATGTTGTTCCAGTAAATATCCTGCTCTACAAACTGGTTTTCACCGGGTCATTGTAAATGACAATTTCTCAATTGTCTTATCTGCTTATATAGAGGATTTAAAAAAAAAAAATTGTATCTCTTTAGATAAGCTACTGATGTTTTCTTGTTGTAAAATTAAAATATTATTTTAAATTTTTATGTTCAAGCATTTTTTTTAAATAGAACATACGGGCACGAACTACCATTTTAGCCCATTTGTGATTGATTAAATTATATTTCCCTTTTTGTGTATATTTTTCTTAAAATGTTAAAAGAATGATAATTTAAGCAAAATGTGTAATCCAATACAACCCACATTGTAGGCTAAAAAATTATTTATTGGAACAAATGTAATTTAAATGCACTTAATCACAGGCCTATTAACATTCAAGAGGTGGCAACATATTAAAGACAATTATGCCTAATTATCCAAATGTAAATTATATACAGCAACAAAATAAACAAATGTTTATATATTTTATTAATAATTCTACAAAAGTGCTGGTAATCTGGTTTAAATGATAAAAATCTAAGGACAGTTCCTGTCAAAATTGCCATTGTCATGTGCCTTTTAAACCCAACTAAAAGTAAAGTCATTTGTGCACAAATACCCAGATTATAGTAAGGAAATGAGTAATCAGAAAGCACAAATGTAAAAAATGTAAATATTTTATCATTTCAGGTCTGTTAAACTATTGAAAACCAGGACATCCATATTTTTAACTTTGAATTCCCTACATGAAAGTAATTCTTTCATGTTCTAGATTAAATATACACATTAAATTAAAAAAATACATTATTCTTCACCTGAAGGTACATCAAATAAATGTGTGCAATATGTTTTGCAATGGCTGCTCCATGGCTGAAGTTTCAAAGCAGCTTTGAAGAGGCCCAGCAGGAGCTTCCCAAAATGTTCATATCCCAAAAATAAAAATGAACTTGTTTGAATTAAAAAGTGACTTGGTTGGGGGAAAAAAAAAACTACTGGATTTCTTGGGATTGTCAATAATACTAATAAATGAATGTTGTATTTGGGTTTCTTAAAACATTTGCCAGAGAGCTTAAATGGTGCA